TTTATAAAATTACAGAAACATGTTTGTCATGTCCATTTATCAGCAGCAGGAACCTGTACATTAATCTGTGTGTACTTGTACTCTGATTCCGACAAACAAGGCTCTGAAGACAATGACAAAATGCTAGGGTTGGGTTAACATTATAATTACCTGTCCCCTGACAGCAACAGAATAATTCATTTTTGTTCTACTTCAAGTGTTCAGTTGAATAAAATGTCACCAACACCAAAAGCCAAACATTTTGGTGGCACCACTGAAACGTCCACTTGGTGAAAAGCAATGGAAAAATATCCACTGCACATGAACATTTGACTGGAGAAGTTTTGATACTACTTGGACTATTTCGGCCGATACCTATAAAGGTATTAACACCCAGCTTATAAAAAATATCTGTTCAATGTACTCAGCTGAATTACAAAATGACAAATATCATGGCCTACAGGGAGGAGGTTCAGCATCTGACTGAGTGGTGTGCTGACAATAACCTGGCCCTTAACACAATAAAAACAAAAGAACTCATTGTGGACTTCAGGAAATCGAAAGGCAACACACACACTCCCATGCACATAAATGGAACGGCGGTGGAGCGTGTGTCTAGCTTCAAGTTCTGGGGGTCCACATATCCGATGACCTCACATGGTCCAACAATACCACCAGCATAGTAAAGAAGGCTCACCAGCGTCTCTTCTTCCTGAGGAGACTAAAGAAAGATCACCTCTCTCCTCAGATTCTGGTGAACTTGTATCACTGCACCATTGAGAGCATCCTGACCAGCTGTATCACAGCCTGGTATGGGAACTGCACAATGCTCAATAGGAAGGCATTGCAGAGGGTGACGAAAATCGCCCAACGCATAATCGGTGTCCCACTCCCTGCCATCGAGGACATCCAGGGGATACAGTGTTTGCAGAGGGCGCACAACATCTTCAAAGACACCTCTCATCTGGCAAACTATCTGTTCGTCCTCCTACCCTCGGGGAGGCGCCTCAGGAGCCTCCGGTCCAAGACCAGCAGGTTCAGGGTCAGCTTCTTCCCCAGGGCTGTTACCCTGCTGAACTCTGCCCGCTGATAGACTCAAGCCCATACCCACCACCCACCTGTTTATATATTTTACTGTCAATGCCGTTTACACTCATCTGTTTATAGTCTATTTATAATTATTCTATTTATAATAATTCCATGTATAATTATTCTCATTATGTAGACTCCTGCACTGCTTTTTTGCACTTCTGGTCAGATGCCTAAACTTACATTTTGTCACTAGTACGTACTACGTAATGACAATAAAGTTGAATCTGAATCTGAATATCAATCAGATATTGCCATTACTGATTGATTGTTAAAGGGCCCATGTCATGCTTTTCCGGTTATTACCCGTCCCCTTGTGTGTTATGAAGGTTTTTCTGCATGTAAACGGTCTGCAGAGTCACACATCCTCAAAGTACACCCAAATCAACAACAAATGACCGGATTGGCCCAAATGGACCAATCCCCTGAGCACGTCACACACCAGGATCCCTTGGCTAACTAACAGGGAGTCCTATTGACTTGCATAGAGCTCCCTGAACGCTGGTAATAGACGAGTTGGGATCGCGGATAAATGCTCTCCGCAGACCCATTCTCACGTTATAAACATTTTTATTACTCAATATCAAGCCACACTTATTGTTTTTACTTCGGCTGTGAGTGTTTGTGTGTGCTCAGGATGAGTTTTGCTTGTTCTCGCTGTATCGCTGACCCGGAAATCTGTCCGCTCCTCGCAGCAGCTCGTCCCGACCAATCAGAGCACACTGGGTTCACAGGGAGCGGGGGGGGGGGCAGGAGCTCCAACAAGCCGTTTAGGACAGAGAGTGAATACACATGCTATACAGAGATGCTGCGATTTTGGAAAATTGCACAATTTAAATCTATTCTATAGACCTCAACAATGGAAATATGATCAGTAGAAATGGCCATGACATGGGACCTTTAAGATAATTACTCAAGCAAAATGCCAATATTTTTAAGGTTACTTGTCTTATTATAAAGTTAACTGAATATTTTGGGGGATTAACAGATAGAAAACGTCTTACATAGTATCGTATACATAATAAATACATATATAGTAATAGATACATATGATTTAAATTGGCTGTACCCTTTGGATCAGATATTGTCCTCATGCAACCAACAAACTGTATCATAGAGCACAATTTAGCAGCGCACTCTCCCAGTCTTTATCTGATATAGTGATTTTTAAACCATCTGTGGTCATTGTGGTTTGCTCTTCACTTTAACAATAGTTCGGAGTCGAGCACAATGGCACCCTGACCCCCCGTTTCCTTTAGTGGCTATCCTGATTAGCTAAGTGACATGTTTCTCCCATGCCATTGTTAATGTATTAGTGTCTGGAGCAGTAACTGCGCTCAGCTAATCATTTAGTGATGGTTATCATTCAGTTGTTCATTGTGAGGGTCTGGGAGATGTACTGTAGATATGGAAGGAGAGGGAGAGAAGAAAGAAAGAATCATGTTGTAATGAGTCATAAAGGATGGGAGAGGAAGGTTATTGAGTAAGATGCTGAAGAGAGGAAGGCAGTTGAGGCCTTCTGTCGTAACAGGAACGATTATAATGTTGTGAGAAAGGGTTTTCAAAAACGGCTTTATTGTACTGTTTACACTCACAACATCACAAACCTATGTAATCATGTCATTTAACTCTTGAAATTCGAAACACTGCGATACACATTGTTTGTTTGCTTTATTCTGAACAAACATTTAGGCCAAACATTTGAAAAGGATTTCTAAAAGAGATGCAATTGTAGCTCTGTTAAACACAAACAGAACATGTATAAACAGTAAATGTATTAAGGTACATTAGAAAACAGTTTTTAAAAGTAACACTAATGAAAGACATAAAAGGAAACCAAGTTTATGTTTACAGGAAGGATACACCGTAGCAAAAATAATAGTGCAAATTTAGTAGTTCAAAAATAATATTGCAAAATCAATGGGTTTTAATTAGGGCTGTCAAACGATTACAATTTTTAATCAGATTAATCACAGCTTAAAAATTAATTAATCATGATTAATCACCATTCAAACTATGTCCAAAATATGCCATTTATTTATGCATATTGTTGTGGGAATGGCGGCGGCGGCTAGTGGAGTACTTCGTGACCACAGAGTGTGAACGTTGTGATCAGCTGTTTTAGCGCAGTTCTCCAGTGAAGGGGGGGGGGGGGGGGGGAGTCTCCCTCCGTAGCCGGTTGGCGTAGTTTTGGCACAATTCCGTTGTACAGACCGACGTTAACAGCAGCCCTGTCTGTGCACACGGAGACCGACTCTGTCGTCCGGTGATCTAACCGCCTTCTGGAAAAGCTTCCCAAGTACGTCGGTACGCAAATGCTCTTTGTGACACAAGTGACGGTACGCATTTCAGAGAGATTACGCACATAACTTGCGTACCAGTTATGTGCACCCCTGTACTACAGCAAAAGTATTCTCCGTCGGGACTTCCTGCAACAACACCACGCCGTTATCAAAGATGTTCTATTGAGAAGACGATCACTACGTGACAAAAGTTTTCAAAACCGTGGCTACTGAAATCAATCTTACTAACTGCTGTCTGTGCAATTTACTCCGCGCGAGTTGGCGGACTTTATTTTGCTTCCTTTAACATCATTTTTCATGGTACCGCCGTTAACGCGATAATTTTGACAGCACTAGTTTTAATGCTAATTAGTAAAATAATCCAATACGTTGACATTCTCAGACACAAATACACTTTAAAAAGTCAACAATTTTTTTTGAAAGCAACTCTTATGAATGTTTTATTGTTATCTGTTGGAAAACTGTCCCTTTCCTGTAACTCAATAACCTGAGGATTACATTATATTGTGATGACTTCACCTCTATGGATTAAAAAACACCTGATCTACTTCCTGCTATGCTTGTACTTATTTGGCAGCTGATGTGACCCACTGCCAGGTACACAAGTACAAACGTATTTACCTTATTAAAGGGTCTTTGAGTTCTGCAGTGCAAGTCTTAACGGGTCAAAACAGTTTGTACTAGAACTGAACTTAAGTGCAAATAAATCCAAGCTATAACAGTTTTAACAACAAAACATGGCATCATTCAGAAAAACACTCTTAAGCGGATCCAATTTCTTTCGAGTCCCGTGATTTGAATTCCCATACGTTGAAGAAAAGTGGTCCGTGTACACAACTGTACTTATTTTCACAGTGTCTGCACATTCAAACCTGGAAGCTGCCATTGTATAACTACTGTACAGTCTAATTTGATGGCCGTTTAGTATTTCTGAAGGAGAAACAAGTGTTGCTCTTTCACTTTACCTGCTCTGATTGATCCTGAGTCACTTTCTCTTTGCCAACCTCTTCTCCTGGTTCCCTTCTTCTTCAATACATGAAGATGAGTAATATCGAAGCCCCTTTTGCAGCATCACACATGAAAGTAATATCTATTAGACAAATACAAGTAGTAAGTGGGGATGGCTCACTCAACAAAATACCACTTACCTATGTGTACATCTTATTCCCCAACCAATACAACTAAGCCAAAAAAAGACTACTTGAAAAACACTGACTTTATGATTCAGGTGGCACTTCATGACCAATTTGCAAAGATACAAAAATTAAGGTGTGATTTTGTACCAAACAACGTTATCGTTTCTTTGTAGAATATGAAGGCTGCAGCACCACAATGACTTTTAGTGGGGATTTTTTAGTGAGGGTCTAAGGACAGAGGGTGTCGTATTGTCATACTGATATTCTGTACAAACTGTGAAGACCACTGAGACAAATGTAACATTTGCGATATTGGGCTATATAAATAAACATTGATTGATTGATTGATAGTGATTTTGATAACATTTTGATTATATGTTCTTCTTAAGATGACAAATATCATTTTTGGACATGTCCTTCAAGTGTGATGTTAGTACTGTATTATCCCGCTGTTGTTTGTGATTATAACAGATGTTTCTCCCTTTACTTCCAGCTGCATTCTGGGGCGACATCGCTTTAGACGAGGAGGACCTGCGCATGTTCCAGATCGACAGGACGATAGACCTCTCGCAGCACACACACATGCACACACACTCCCGGCAGGGGCACACGTCTGGTAAGTGGACTCAACATCTCACTCTCACTCAATAATCATCATGTAATCCTCTCTCTCGCATGCTTCCTCTGAAACTCTCTCCCTGATTACCCATCGTAGAGTAAAGCCGCTTCAATAGGAAGAGGACAGAGGCCACCTGAGGATATCAGCGTTTATTGTGCATTGTTTTGATTCTTGGCTCATGTGTGTATCAGGTGGCCTGGAGGAACATGAAATCTCTAAGAAGAAAGGATCTTTATATCTTCTGCTGGAGAGAATACGCAGGTTTGGCCTCGGTAAGGACTGTAAACTTAACTTTTCATGTTGAAGCTAATAAACTACAAATCCAAAATCCCTTACCTTACTGCCATAATGACATCCAGGCTCTAGCGTGAAGCCTCTGGTTTCCATTATTTTTTATTCAGTATGGAAACCAACTGTTGTGCAGGGACTGAAGTCTTTTAATAGACCCCTAAAAAAAGCTGTTTAAAGGAAGTTTGAATGCACTACCAAGAGGATTTTTGGTTGCCGCTTGCCACTTTAACCATTTCAACTTTGACAAAAGGGGTGATGAAAGTTTCACTGTTATAAAAAACGTGTATCACGTTTAAATTATCTGCAAGTTGATTGATTTGATGTGATAGTGAAATCATTCAAACTGAATTAAGTAAATTAAGTGACTTTCTTGGATCAGTACTGCACAGAAAGTTGTTTCTTCTTCTGCATTAAAGTCATTTTGGCTCATTGTTACAAGTGGGACACATACATAAAGCAATGTTGGTTTTTCCACTCTAATCCAATATGAATACAGCTTATATCATCATTTAATGGAGAATCTCAAATTTGAACTTTTTGACAGTGAGAAAGTCAGGCACCTATATATCCTTTATTTAACCAGGTAAAACACTCATTGAGATTAAAAGCTCTTTTCTAAGAGTGAACTACGCATTTTACTATGAAGTAAAGTCTGACAAATGCATCAGCTTTATAATACATCTGCTTTCAATACTCCGAGTGTTGCTAGATCTCTGACGGTTCAAGTCTGTCTTCTTAAAGCTCTTTGCAAGTGGACTAACAGCTCACCTCATTCAGTATTTATCATAAACATATTTAAATGAAATGTTTAATAAAACAGTATAATTGCACAGCCACATCTATATGAGTTGTATTACCCTCTGGGCTGAGAACAAACTCTGAAAGGTCACGTATAATAAGACCCAGTGCGATCCAATAATCTTAGAGCTAAATTATAAATCGACATTCATATTAATAGACCAGTCATTTATTCAGTTTGAACACACATAGCAAGATCTTGTTTTTTTCCCTCGCTCTGTTAGACTATCTTCCCAAGAACTTCAGCAGGGGAGCGGCCAATCCGAAGAGCCAAACCGGGAAAGGTGGGAAGATCAGGAAGGTTGTGAAGAGACGTATTCCTCGAGCAGCCACGTCCCGGGCTGAGAGGATATGGCCTGGAGGAGTCATTCCCTACGTCATAGGAGGAAACTTCACTGGTAAGCGCCTGAACTGGACTGCTGCCTGTACGCCTCAACTGTAAAATACACACTGACACGTGATTGTGTGAAAGTAGGATGTGAAATGTGTGTGTTTCAGGTAGTCAGAGGGCCATGTTTAAGCAGGCCATGCGTCACTGGGAGAAACAGACGTGCGTGACTTTCATTGAGAAAACGGATGAGGAAAGCTACATCGTGTTCACCTACAGGCCATGCGGGTGAGTTTGGTGAATCTCTTTGTGTATGTGTGTGTGTGAGAGAGTGTGTGTGTGTGTGCACCTAGAGTTCAGTAGTGACCTTGTCACAGCGAGAGACCATACGGTCACTCAACAATGGCTCCACTTTCCTTCCTGTCCTCATGCTGCTCACTCCAAGTTTTTGTATGTTTGTGCAGTTTTTTGTTCATACTCTGCAGAAGAGCATTGTTCTGTCGAGTGGCAGCACGATGGGGTCAGAGTGTGTTTGTACAGTGGTGACTCTTCACTGACTGGCTGAGAGGTTTGAGATAGGGCTGCACGATATATCGTGTCGTGACGATAATCGCGATATGCGCATGCGCGATATTCACATCACGTGGACGTGCGAATTTTTTAATAAAAAAAAAAAGATTATATTATAATTATTATATTAATAATATTTTTTAGGACTTGCGATATTAAGTAGGCAAATTAAGTCAAACACGTCATGTTACAATTATTTTGCTACAAAAGGAAAACTTGTGCGACTCTCATGTCAGGGGTACTTGAGTGAGTGACAAGCAGGCTCTGCATGCACAGCAAACCACCGATCACAATCAAATCTCCAAAGCAAACGGACCCGGTGATTAAAGGTAAACACACTGAATAAAGTAGTTTCATGTGTTTCTCCAGGGCAGTTCGGCGCTGCTAACCGAGCTAGCTCAGCTTGTTGCTCTGATAATTTAAGATCCAGACGTCCGTGACTAAAATCCTTCATCCGGTTAAATATAGTTAAAAAAATACCAATTGTATAGCATTAAAGTTCAAGAAAGGATGGTTTGCGGGAAAAACTGTATTTTCTTCAATTCCTGTATGTTTTCATATCGCAATATGTACCACAGGGGGGGAAAAATCGCAATGTCAGTTTTTTTCCAATATCGTGCAGCCCTAGTTTGAGATGTTGGGTTCATCTCTCTGAACTGTCGTTTTGCAGACGGATAAAATAATAAGACATGTAGAATAGATAAATAAGTTGATAAATTAATAAGCGGCAGTAAATGCACCAATAGCAAATCTGATGGATTATTAATTGAATTAATTTACAAAAACAACATTCACTATTATTTTATACTACTGTCAGTCAAATCCTTCGGGATAATCACTGCTTGTTGTACAGAAGAACCAATTTGAAGATGTGTTGCATAATTCTTACCAAATGTTCTATTGCGCTTTTCAGAATTCAGACATATTTTATGATTTTTTTAAATTTTGACTTGAAGTGAACGAGGCTGGTCCAACATCTGTATTGTTACTAGTGACAATAAAAGATTCAATAGCACCAAATATTAATAAATACAATACATATTAACTGTTAATTGCCAAAATCTTGCCCAAACTGTCTGGCCACATTTGTAGTCTTATTTTCTTACCCTCTTTTTAATGGAATGGAAAGGGTTTTTTATAAGCAAATCTTATCTTTCTCAAATATTATGCCAAGAAAAACCACATCCAAGCTTAATTATTGATTCCAATACACACAGCTTAATTCTATTAGGACTTCTGTGGACTATATTAATATGTTTTGGTTGACCGAAGAAACTGCAGATTGTATTATGTTTACCTTAATATGTCTTGTTTTTTGTAGCACCTCGTATACTTTATTTTTGATGATGTATTCTATTTTACTTAAAGAATGGAGGAATCTGCATACATTTTAAAATGTATCTTATTTTTTAAACGTAAATGCCATTTCATTCAATGAGTGAAAGATCAGCGTGTTTACAGATGATGCCAGTTTTCTCGTCCTCTGTGATTGGCTGGCTGCATCAGAGATTAGACACTTTAATCTGATGTATAAATACCCTGCAGCTTGGATGTGTGACAGAAACAGGCAGACACTGGGAGAGAAAGGAAGAAATATATCAATTATGTTTTATTAAAGAAGCCCAGTACATAGCATGTGGCACCTGTCGTGGGTGAAGTGCTGGTACTAAAGCTGTACATGCTGGAGGAAAATACTCTATCTACTCCAATGACTCCTGATCCCTACCCTGCAATCAGCTCACTGCATAACTTTAATCACATTTGTTAGCCTGGCACAGATGTCTCGGTTAACCAGAAAAATGTGTGTTTGTGTGAGTGTTCTGTGAGCAGCAATATGTGAATTCTCACAGCTTATTTTTCCCATTTGGTTATGAAACCACAGCGTTATCAGAGCGTTGTATGTAAATAAATCGTGACTCTTTCCCTGTGGTGGACGTAGTATGGGGCAGGAAATCCTGGAAAGACTGTGTGAGTCTGGGTGTGTGTGAGTGTGATTGTGTGTGTGTGTGTGTGTTAAAACTGCACTGCTGAAGCTTTTTTCCACTGCCAAATGTGTAGTAAATATCATCCGCCTATCTCCCTGCTATCAACTTCCTACTAATCCTTATTAGGTGTTGTTCCTATGTGGGTCGTCGTGGCAACGGGCCCCAGGCTATCTCCATAGGCAAGAACTGTGACAAGTTTGGCATCGTGGTGCACGAACTGGGTCACGTCATTGGCTTCTGGCACGAGCACACGCGGCCTGACCGTGACGATCACGTGACCATCATTCGAGATAACATACAACCAGGTGAGAATCGGTACCCACGATGCACCTGGGCCTCGGTTAACAAAACTATAGGGTCAGTAGTTCATTTATTTTACTTGATATTGCCATCACAGTAGCATTTGAATTGGACCTAAAATGTATACGCAAGGACCGGATGCAATAGGCTTCGTGTTTGTAAGAAAACGATTACTTTCAACACCTGTCCCCCTTTTTATAAGTTTAAAATAGAAAAATATATATATACAGATACAGTAAATTCACAAATTCATGCTCAACTAGAACAGCTTTCAGTGAGCACAGTCCTCTGCCAAGTCCAATATCCCATAAAGAGCTCTTCCGATGCTCCCATTTCCAGAGTTAGGAATTCTGTCCTTCATGAGGCTTAACTCGTAATGTAGGCCCAACAAGGAGGCGTGTGGCGCAGTGGATAGTGCATTGGTGTTCGGATCAGGGGAGCACAGGTTCAAACCCCACTGCAGTCAGCATGTCGTTGTGTCCCTGGGCAAGACACTTCACCCCAAATTGCTCCTGTGGGGATTGCTTTGGATAAAAGCGTCTAACAAGTAACATGTAATGTAACATGGACTCAGAGATTGCTCAGAGCATAAATACAACACGTAGATATTTGTTACAGAGTTGTTGTTTCGACTTAAGGATGAGTTCTTGGTAATGTTTTCTAGCTGCCAAAACTCCTTTTACCGATTACTCCGGCACCAAACGATTGCAGCACTAATATCATATCTCACAATGTTCAGACATTATTAATGTATCCGCCCTGGGATTCAGATCTGCTCCAAATGTAATGACTTCATCCCTGGCCCATGCTACACCCCTTTTCAACAAGTTTTATGACAACCCGGCCAGTAGTTTCTCCATAATCATGCAGACAGACAAACAGACTTACCAAAAGGAAAACAAAACCTAATTCCAGGAGGTAAAGATACATTCACAAATACATAGACAAAACATAGACAAGACGAAACATAGATGTGTCTACAGGGGTATTAGGGGTCAGAACAATCTCATCTTCCTTTTAGGCATTACTTAATTAAAAACATTTGTGTTACATTAACAGAGGAGACTGATTGTCAAACTCTGTTAAGCGTAATACAAGTTTCTAAGAGGAGTTATATGAGGACGTTTTTGGACAACGCTTGTATCAGGCCTGTGTGAGTGTGAATAAGTCGTCTAATGACTGTGAAGTCACCTTGACCCTCCGGACTGTCTCTTTTCCTCCCACACACTCCTCTGAACACGACTTTGCCAGAAAGGTGTTAAATCAAATGACAGACCTGACCCAAGTTTTTATTTAGAAACAAATCTGAGCTCTCCACTACTCTGCTCAATTGGACTTCAAGTATTTTAATATATGCAGTAATCTTGACACACCTAATAATTTTAGCTTTGTGTGTTCTGTAAGGATTATACTTGTGTTTGCGTTCATGGTGGATGAGTGATAAAATTGAAATGTTTTTACGCTGCTGTGCTTTGCGTGTGTGCAAATGTGTGTAAATGGGTGTATGTGTGCTTCGCAGGCCAGGAGTATAACTTCCTCAAGATGGAGCCAGGGGAGGTCAACTCTCTCGGGGAGCCATATGATTTTGATAGCATCATGCACTACGCCAGGAACACCTTCTCACGGTAACTAGCGGCACAGTCTGCTCTCATGACCTGTGTTGAATTTAGAGTTCATATACACACGCTGAAAAACCAAGCAGACTTCAAACCTGAAAAACGTTTCTTTTGTGAAACGTTGATTTTGATTTTTTTGAATGTTTTTTCATGTTGATGTTGTTTAGTGGAGCTGATAGTTAAAACTACCCTTGACCAACTTTCATCACTCAGGGCAAGTAAAGGAATGTTAAAAGTGAATAAAGAAAGACTGCAACTATTTATTACCCTGGCCACATGGTAAACAAATACCAACAAACATATGTCCAATTCAAGCAGCTGTAATTATAGTTATAAAAGAGTTTTTCCATTTATTTTTACTTTTGACCCATTAAACCAACCAATATCTTCTTGTGACCACATGTCATTAGTTTTGATGTCTTCTGGCTATGACCAGCTCAAATAAAAATGGTTCTTTTGCCAATGTAAAAACAATATGGAAGGGGTTGCCTGTAGTGATAACATATTACCATATTAACTTAAAAGTTGAAGATATAGATACAGATATGTATTCAAAATACCTGTTTTCAAAAAATAATAAATAATATGAAAGGACTTGAAGAGCTGCAAAAATCCAGGAATTCACAAAACAGGCAAAACACAAAAAAGGTCCTCATAAACACATTTGTTCTGCTATCATATCATTCTAATCAGAATCGGAATCCGAATACCTTTATTCGTCCCGCAGAGGGGACATTTGCATTTGTTACAGCAAGAAAAGAGCCAACGACAGCTTAATATTAACTAAGAAGCATGCATAAAAATGAAAGATACAAAAATAAAAATAAATTACACAATTTACAAAATACACATCTGTAATATGACTCTCTCAAACATCTGGAATCAGCCAGTTATTTGCCAGTATGATTGATCACAGGTTTACTTTCCATGTGAAGATGCTTTTAGTCTCTGCAATATCTACTCCTTAAACCTCTTCAATTCCTCCACTCTGCTCCATATCACAACACAAAACAAGATAGTGATAGGATGATTAGTATTTGCTCTGAGATCATAAATTGTGATGTTTTGAAGAAATATGAATGTGTGTTGAAATCTCTCGTTTCCTTCCGAAAGGGGGATGTTCCTGGACACCATCCTTCCGTCCAGAGATGAAAATGGGGTCCGGCCTGCTATTGGCCAGCGCACAAGGCTCAGTAAAGGAGACATTGCACAGGCAAGGAAGCTGTATAGATGTCCAGGTACTGATATATATATATATTTACTATGAGTCAGAGTGTGTGTGTGTGTGTGTGTGTGTGTGTGTGTGTGTGTGTGTGTGTGTGTGTGTGTGTGTGTGTGTGTGTGTGTGTGTGTGTGTGTGTGTGTGTGTGTGTGTGTGTGTGTGTGTGTGTGTGTGTGTGTGTGTGTGTGTGTGTGTGTGATCCAGCCAGAGAAATAAGGATGACCTCTGTTTATCTGCTAGTATCTTTAGTGTGAAAAATGTGCCCGCCCTTTCGTTCTCCAAGGCACAGAGGCGAAGTTAAGTAATTCGTTTTTCCATGTGACGCTATCTCCCTTTTTTCGGGTCTCCCACACATCATAAACACTCTTTGTGTGCTGTTCGGGGGTCCCTCAGGTCCCTACTGCGCGGTACTTACGTGATCTGGAGCCACTCTCAAGCTGAGCTGTTTGGTAATGTTGCGAAAATGTGTGATCGCAAATGTGCTGCCATCGCTTTTTGGCCCACGCAAACATCCCCAGGACAGGTTCAAGCTGCAGGTCATCATGTGCACACTTTGTCCTCTATCTTAGAAAAGCAGATTGAGTAATATTTGTCACCATTCTGGTCTGTTACATTCACCAAAAGCCCCTTTTTTTATAATGATGTTTTTGATCTTGATGTTGTTCTGGGAAAATACAATTTATATGAAAATATGCACGTCTGGCATTTATTTGTGTGTGTTAATATTAATAATCCCACATATATTGCAAAATATGTTGTTCCACTACATTTGATAAACAAGCGAGAACAAGACTGAATTTGCGTGTCCCAGCTGGAAATATACAACTTCAACCTTATAAGGTCATATTTGAGTGATACCATATTCACTGACAGATGAACAGAGCCCCAGGGCATTGTGGGGAACAACAGCATGCATGATAGGATAGGAGTGGCACATTTGGCTAACCTCCTTTTTGAGAGGGAGTGACAGCATTTGTCTCGGTAAGAAAATAAAAAAATGAAGACAGCAATATTGTGTGAGAAATGTCCATAACATTCCAATCCAGCTGCAAATCATTTTATGTTGTTGTCTTTTGTGTGATTAAAATAAAGTCAGTCTTGATCACTTAAAGGTGGGGTAGGTAAGTTTGAGAAACCGGCTCGAGATACACTTTTTGTTATATTCCATGGAATGCTCTTAACATCCCGATAGCAATGAATATCTTAAGTGCTTTGACAAAAAATCCATAAAAAAATGTCTTCTGTGGAAGCCGTAGTACTGTAAAAAGCACGACCAATCATCTGAGCCGGCCCGGCTAAAATAACTGGATGGCCTACCTGCCTGTCAGCCTTCCATCTGTGCACAAACTTATCTCGTGCCCTCATTGGTCATGTGCGCGTTCATGTGTGTTGGAGGAGGGGCTCTGTTACGAAGTGGCAGATTTTTTCCTGCTGTGTATTTTCAAATTCTAGCGCACTCGAGCTGGTTTCTCCAAAATTACCCCACCTTTAAAGTAAAATTACTTTATTCTGATCCACGGTGATGAGGCTTAATGACTGTGGTTAGACCTCACGTTTGCACTGATACACACAGGAATACAAACACTCATACTGCTGTCTCCAAAATTGAACAAGCCAAACACAACATCAAACACAAGTTTGTTTTGGAGGGCAATTGTAATTCCTTTACGGTTTTCCTAATCAGGAAAACCCCCTCTAAAAGTTTCCATATGGACAGATCAGGTATTAAAGAATGAAGCTGTTGTTTTGACAAAATAGTCTGTTGTACATTTATTTTGGTAAATTGGCAGTTAACGATTAAGAATAATAATAGATATGAGAGCCATGTGTTCTTTAGTGATGTACCAATCACAAGCATCGGTACACAGATGAAAGGATTACGCACAACAACAGGACTCACCACAAAAATGTAACTCCATCTGTATGTGTGGGTGTGTTTTGGAATGTGTGTGTGTGTGTGTGTGTGTGTGTGTGTGTGTGTGTGTGTGTGTGTGTGTGTGTGTGTGTGTGTGTGTGTGTGTGTGTGTGTGTGTGTGTGTGTGTGTGTGTGTGTGTGTGTGTGTGTGTGTGTGTGTGTGTGTGTGTGTGTGTGTGTGTGTGTGTGTGTGTGTGTGTGTGTGTGTGTGTGTGTGTGTGTGTGTGTGTGTGTGTGTGTGTGTGTGTGTGTGTGTGTGTTGCAGCATGCGGAGAGACACTCCAAGAGTCAACGGGCAACTTCTCATCCCCTGGTTACCCCAACGGATACCCATCATACACACACTGCGTCTGGAGAATATCTGTTACACCAGGAGAAAAGGTGCACATACACACACATAAACTCATGAGCACACACACGGGCACACACACACAAAGTGACACACACAGAGTAGCAGTGAATTTGCATGCATTAACAGTAAGAGCCTGCTGATGACGATATATTGATTATGTCCTCACACACTACAGGTGCCTTCCTCATCGCCACCTCTCTTCATCTGGTCTCAGGTGCAAACATCTGTATTAAATATGTTAAATATTTACTTTTGCTCCTCCAGATTGTCCTTAACTTTACCACCATGGATCTGTATAAGAGCAGTCTGTGTTGGTACGACTACATTGAGGTCCGGGACGGATACTGGAGGAAAGCTCCGCTGCTCGGTAAGACCAGGGCACCGTCAGCCAGAGGGGCGCCGGCTACTCTTTAGTAAACTCTTTTCTTGTTAGCACGTTCCTTCTTTAGCTCATTAATTCTGCTGAAATCACCTCAGATGAACAAGGTTACTTCCACACTGACATTGCAAACCTTGCTTCTGGTGTTTTTAACCCTAAATCAGAAAATGTTTCAAACGCTGATAATACTGGCGCTGCTTTTTAGTTTGATGCTCCAGGATTGAGCTTTAGACACAGTTTGATTCCAGATTGTGTCCTTAGTCACAACAAATCCTTCCTTGACCGAATAACCCTTTTCCAGAATAAAACAAACCAGCTTTAACTACCGTTGGTTAAAGTCCAACATTGATAACAAATTACAAACATTGCTGACCTTTTAATTATTATTTTGTACTACAACATACTTGCTGTGACTGTAAACCCATGTCCAGACAGACAGTAGTACCGTAGTCTATATACATGTTTCATATTCATGTTGTTATCATGTTTTTCTCATCACTTTTCATAGGCTGTATTTAATAAAAAAACATTGGACAACCAAGTTATCTTTCATACAGGGTTTGTTTTTACATGTGTGTTTTTAACAGGCAGGTTTTGCGGGGATAAAGTTCCTGAAGTCTTGATCTCCACTGACAGCAGGATGTGGATTGAGTTTCGCAGCAGCAGCAACTGGGTGGGAAAAGGCTTCGCTGCCATCTATGAAGGTATCGCTTCTTCCATAGAAAACCAATATTCACATAAATAAATAACACACATATTGTAAACCCACAGCACACAATGAAAGAAAGACTGGTTTCAAATTCTAGATGTTTGACATTATTTATACATTCACGTGTTTCAGGTGTTTATGCTAATTTGTCCCATCTGTCCATCTGTCTCTGTCTTTCTGTGTCTTTGTCCCTCTGTGCAGCGATCTGTGGAGGGGAAATCACCAAGGACTCAGGACAGATTCAGTCCCCTAACTATCCTGATGACTACAGACCGTCCAAAGAGTGTGTGTGGAGGATCACTGTGTCCGAGGGATACAACGTCGGGCTCAGCTTCCAGGCCTTTGAGGTGAGTCAATCCGTATGTGTGTGTTTTTCTTCCTTCCCCTTTGTGTGTGTGCTCAGGAATGTCTGGGTCAGATTTCACGCTTGTATAGTTACTAGGAAGTTAATAATGTTAGTCCTACATATGTTTGTGTGTATATGTGTGTGTATGTTAGGATTAGTGTTGCGCTGTAAAAATGTCCCCATCCTCACTTCACTCTTGTAAGGTCAGAGTTCAACGTAACACAGAAGCAAAGATCAACCTCATTTCAAATAGCTTTAGTCTCAGACACTTCTCTTGGGTTTAAAAACACAAATAATGTCTTGTACAAAGATAGAATTTGAACTTGTAGTTTTCGCTGGAATATTTGATAGTGACAGGATGGATGTTGATATTCACAGTATTTTTTGCATCTACAACGTGCATGAATGGTTTTGTAGATCGAGAGGCACGACAGCTGTGCCTACGACTACCTGGAGGTCCGAGACGGCCCTCTGGAGACGAGCCCTCTGATTGGTCGATTCTGTGGCTACGACAAACCTGAGGACGTGCGCTCCACCTCACACACACTGTGGATGAAGTTTGTCTCAGACGGGACGGTGAACAAGGCCGGCTTTGCTGCTAACTTTTTCAAAGGTGTGTGTGTCAGCTGATTAGGTTTTCTCAATATATTCTAACACAAAGCCTTTTTGATTCGTGTGGAAATAAATGTGCGCTGACGTGTCTGACGTGTTTTTCAGAGGAGGATGAGTGTGCCAAGCCAGACAATGGTGGATGTGAACAGAGGTGTGTAAACACTCTCGGCAGCTTCAAGTGTGCCTGCGACCCGGGCTACGAACTAGCTCCTGACAAGAAGAGCTGTGAAGGTAACTGTGTGTGTGTGTGTGTGTGTGTGTGTGTGTGTGTGTGTGTGTGTGTGTGTGTGTGTGTGTGTGTGTGTGTGTGTGTGTGTGTGTGTGTGTGTGTGTGTGTGTGTGAGTGAGTGAGTGAGTGAGTGAGTGAGTGAGTGAGTGAGTGAGTGAGTGAGTGAGTGAGTGAGTGAGTCTGAGTCTGAGTCTGAGTCTGAGTGTGTGAGAAAGAGAATCATTCATGTTTGTATATGTGCATTCCTTTGGCTGTTTTCTTCTGTAGGATATGAGTCTACCTCATCAGAAAAAAAAACATCCCAACGGCCTCCATCAACAGGAAAAAACATCTTTCTGACACAAAGCCACATGTCTCTCAGCTCCAATGCCAAACATTCTGTGAATGTCCTTTAATTCCATGAAGTTGATTGGTTCCCATAATCTCCCACATATTGAAACAACTGACCAGACCACTTCTGACGCAGAGAGAATACGCTATGCGTTTGAAATATCCAAATTGTGGTTTTGCTCTATTCTTTGAAGAGCAGTAGTTACTCCCGATCCCCAGGGAAATAATGTGGGAAAATCCTGAAGAAGGTGGATAACATGTAATTAAAAAACAAAGAGAGGATTCTAGCTGCAGACTGAATCAGTCATTCAGAACTAAAAGAAGCATGGCGATGAAATTGTAGGAAAAAAACAGACTCTTGACCAGAGTCACTACCTACTGCTAATATACGAGGCTTTTAAGCACGGCAATCCCAATAGGTTGTTCTGTGAAATGCTGTCTTTGTGGCTTGTCTGAATTGTCTGTGTGTTTCCAGCGGCATGCGGTGGTCTCCTCTCTAAGCTGAACGGCACCATCAGCACTCCTGGTTGGCCTAAAGAATATCCGCCCAACAAGAACTGTGTGTGGCAGGTGGTCGCTCCCACTCAGTACCGCATCTCCATGCAGTTTGAGGCCTTTGAGTTGGAGGGAAATGAGGTGAGTGTTTGTGTGTGTTGTCTTTTAATGGGCAAAGTAGCCATCTTGTTGATGTGTGTTACGAGGGCCTTGTTTGTGTGTTTAGGTGTGTAAATACGACTACGTAGAGGTGCGCAGCGGCCTTTCACCGGACTCGAAGCTGCACGGTAAATACTGCGGCACCGAGGTTCCCGAAGTCATCACCTCGCAATATAACAACATGAGGATTGAATTCAAATCTGACAACACCGTCTCCAAGAAAGGTTTCAAGGCTCACTTCTTCTCAGGTAAGACACTTGTGTTACACCTGTGTGTGTGTTCGTGTCTCAGTGGGTGGGAAGAGCACATTTTTTTGTTTGGATAGTGCAAATGAAGATTTATAATAAATCAAATATGATAGCTCACCGGGTGCTTTGCTAACCCCCTAAACATTAATATTGGATGAACATGCAAAACCAATTTTAAATGTAAATTGAAAACATTTTGTTAATTGATTGTGTTATTATTTGTACCTATGATATACAATTCATACTCACTACTATTGCTGCACAATGCATTGTTTTTACGCCTTCTTCGTGATTTCCACCTGCACGAGAAACGCAGAGAGAAAAAAAAAAGTTTCACATTTTTAGTTGAAAGCAATTAGTAAATGACATTATAGAATGCAACTATCATTGTTTTTTATCATTGGTGCCTTTCATTTTCAGTTCAATGCTTAATTTTCCAAAGCAAAAAGGTTGAAATGCTGAGTACATTTCAATATCTTCTTATTCATTGCAGTATTATCCTTAGCTTATTTAACAATGTCATCACATAAGGCATATGTTACTCATTGTGCATCCCATGTGACTCCATTGTGGTTAAATGCTTAAGTTTAAACATCAAAAACAGTGAAAGCTGGTGGAAGATAGAATTAAAACCAAAATCTTCAGCCCTGATTCTTTTGTTTCCCTCCACTGAGTGTTTGTTTGTTTGTATGTCGACGTATGTCATGTTTTTTTTAGTATTTGTGTTAGTTAATATCCATATGTTTGCACACCCCTCTGTTTTATTGTCTGTGTCGTGTTGTGTCTCCGCTCCTCCACACTCCCACCCTGCCCTCTCTCCCTCAGACAGGCTGGCTCTGTGTCGTATGATTGTGTTTGAGTCATGCAAGGACATAAAGCGCCGCCGCTCTCCCCCCCGCGGCCTTATCAACAAGCTGGCAACCTCATCAAAGGTCAGAGGTAACATGACCTCACAATCGGACTCTCTGATTGGCTCTCGTCTACCATGTGACAGGGAATGGAGTGATCCCGTTTTATCGTGGATCATCGTTTCACTCCATTCTCCTCCAGAGGGAAACATGTGCTTTGTCCAAATTCCATACTACAGATCAGTTTTACTGATAGTATTTATACAACACAATAATAACAGTTTTACTGAACACAATAATAACATAGGAATTTCAGCAGATGAATAATATCATTATACAAATGTATATGGGCCAAATAAAGGTTCAGTGCAAGCTGCAATTAGAAACTAAGATTAAATTGTTAAAGTTATGTTTTTTAAATATTTGCCATATTGTATTATATTTGTATCAAACAGTTTCCTTGTTATTATTTGCGTTAGGCACACAAAAAGGAATGTGTTTTACCAATTTGTTGTAAAAGAAAATAATAAATGTACTAAAGGAAATCGATCAAACTGCAAGCTACAGTCTTTTTCAAATGTCCAAATCTCCCAAATGTATAAAAGATATTACTTTTTATTGTCTGGCATGTTACAGAAATGTCACAACTTTCCACTTTTGGTTTTAGTTGGAAATTAAATTAAATTGAGTTAATTAAATTGAAATGTTTTAGAGCCGTGAGAGTCCTTCTTTCTGTTGCGTAATAGGACAAAATGGTCTATGAGCACCACAATTGAAAATCAAATTAAAATAGGTATGTACTATTTTTTTATTGTTACTTTGGAAACATGCACTGTACACCCTAGGAACCCACACAGATTTAGTGCGTAGTTATGGAATTTGGACACAGCTATGATTCCCCAGTACAAAACCTCAACAAATATTCCCCACTCGCCGCTCCTGGGATGAATTTGTTGGATGTTAACATTAGATAATAACAATTATAGGAAGTTGTCCTGAAGCAAAGGTCCACATTTCTCTTTTATTACTCTAACATTTACAGTGAGTAAAAGGGAAAACAGGCAACTTCAATTTAACCTTTCCGTCTTCGTCAGAAGAACTAAAGCTGTCAACTGGATGATCTCGTCAAAGTTAAACTCCCTGCAGAACACCTGGAAGTTAAAGCACTCACAGTGGTGCATGGCTTCACAGAGGATTTACTAGGATAAAGTGTGTGCGTTTGTGTGTGTGTGTGTGTGTGTGTGTGTGTGTGTGTGTGTGTGTGTGTGTGTGTGTGTGTGTGTGTGTGTGTGTGTGTGTGTGTGTGTGTTTGATAAAAGCTGCTGTGTGAGTGGCTCTTCTATTGTCAGAAGCTGTTAGTTGGCAAAGATCCATCAGCTTTAGGGAGGTCCCTTTGGCCTCCCACACATCTATTCTATGTGAGTTTGGATCCCGGGCTACGAACTAGCTCCTGACAAGAAGAGGTGTGTGTGTGTGTGTGTGTGTGTGTGTGTGTGTATGTGTGTGTGTGTGTGTGTGTGTGTGTGTGTGTGTGTGTGTGTGTGTGTGTGTGTGTGTGTGTGTGTGTGTGTGTGTGTGGGTGTGTGTGTGCGTGTGTGCGTGTGGACATTGTGTACTTGACCTGAGCAAGATACAATGAACACTGGAGCATCTACAGCAAAGCTTCTTAGCCTCTGTTAGGGTGAGAATGAGCCCACAATAGGACCGTAACCACATCAGACAGACACACACACACACACACACACACACACACACACACACACACACACACACACACACACACACACACACACACACACACACACACACACACACACACACACACACACACACACACAGAAGAGTACAATTTAGTAGTTTCATTAAAAGCAGATCTAGTTTGATTCACAAGCTCTTGAGTTGAGGTGAGACTCGGCGTCTGTGTCTAATCTCACATCTCTTTATGGGAATCTGTCTCTGTCTCCATCACACACACACACACACACACACACACACACACACACACACACACACACACACACACACACACACACACACACACACACACACACACACTCTCTGCTCAGTCTCACACACTCTCCCTTCCACATGCTCTGTCTTCCTGTGCGGTCATCTGAAAATTCCCACCTCTCTGTCTCCGACACCGAGCGAGTCCTCCCTGTGATCCTCCAGTCACAGTGACGAGAAGCCGTGTGGTGAGAAGAAGCCACACATTAAAGGATGAGGGAGAGGAAATGAGCAAGAAGCTGTAAAACAAAAACACCCTCAGATGGTTTCTTTCAGTTTTTGTTTTAAGGCTACAAATATTTAAACATTTTAACCTCTTAACGAGCAGCTGCCTGTCACTTATTATAAACTCATACTGTGCCGCCAAACATCGTTCAAGTTTACAGACAGCTTTATTCCCAGTTCCTGTGGACAACGGATTCCCGTGCTTAAACCTCTAAGTCTTTATGTTTGCATATTATATATTACTTATTTTACTCATTGTAAACATCATAAAGCTTTAAGAGATGACAGGCTGATCCATAATATGGATAATGCTGTCAGGGATATGTTTTGGATTACATTAAAGCTACTTAGAGAAATAAGCATTTTTGCTTTTCTACTGACAACGATAAAGTACTTCAGCAAGCAATTGGTTAGCCTAGCTTAGCACAAAGACTTACAACAGGAAAACAGGAAAACAGGGCCGTCCCCAAGCGGAGGACCCGGGTTCGAATCCGTCTCTGAAGCATTTGCCACATGTCGTCCCCACTGTCTCCCCGTTCAGCTATATCTCTACAATAAAGGCACTGGTTCCCCCCCCAAAAAAAGCATCTGAAAAGCTCTGTAATTAAAACATATTTCTTGTTTAATCCATGCAATTACTGCAGCATAAAACAAAATCCCAGAAAGATTTAATGTGCCTTGCTGTACCAACTTAACTGTATCAACAACATAGAAAATACCACTTAATAAGGATTTTAATAAGCGGAAAAGGCGAGAATATTTAATAATTCAATTCTAGTTGATTTTATGTAACGGAACCGCTCCATAAACAACAGTTAGGACTCATTGAACTTTCAAGAAAACTAGTTTTTCTTGTTTATATGCAAATGTGTGGAGCAAACTGCCCCAATACCGACTCAATTTATTCATGGCATCTACATTTATAATGTCCCACATTTCCTACCATGTTCCGTGGTAACGAACAACACAGATCACAGAGAAGTAGGTCTGCAGCATCTTTCCAAATGTATGGAACTAGGCTCTCAAGATGACGAACGAAGGAGACGTGTCGACAGAAGCTCTCGTCACATTTTTACAGCAGTCAGCTGAGTTAACATCAGATTGAACAGAGGCGGTCGGCCCAGGAGAGAACAGCTGATATGAAAACAGCTGTTACGGTCAGAGACATTTCCGAGCCAAGGCGTGAGTCTGACCACAGAGCAGCCATGAGCATGAACGCCAGGAGCAGCAGGAACACCGTTTTACAGGCCAATAGAAACACATTACTCACACTAACTAACTCCTTTGTGTGTGTAGGTGTTTCTATAACTCTAACTTTCTGTTACTGCTTTTTGTCATTATTTTTAGGGTCGTCCGCTATCAGTTAATTAATAGGTCGTTTTGGTTTTAGTCAACTTAAGATTTCTGTAGTCCATTATTATATTTTTACGGTTTCATTTATGAATGAAATTTGTGAGCAAATCTCTGGAAAACTTAAAGTGGACCTATCATGCTATATTTGAATAATATATTGTCGGGCCATACTTATATAAAACATGTCTGTGAAGTTTTTTTTTCAAAATACTAAACAGATCATGCATTTTAGCCATGCCTCATTTTGCTCTATTTGCTCTTTTCCAGCCCTGTTTTTGCAAGGGCTGATTCTGTGAGAAGTGTTCTTCGCTGCTTTTGTGTCAGATTACAGCGCCACTTACAGGCCTGGCATATGTACTACAGCATCTCCAGCGCTTTCGAGCGGCAATGGCCGTGGCCCAACCCCTCATTCCCCTGATAGGTGGAGAGTTGCCCATATAGGCGGAGCACCCATTTTCTGACAGAAAAATTGAAATCTGTATCAGTCTGTATCAGATCCGTTGTAGCCCCGTTTTTAGAGATTTGGGTATGGAGGAAAAATAGAGAGCATTGTGTTTTCTGACAATTGGTGAGTTCCCTGACACACCGGGGACACATATTCATGTATAAAAGACATACAAAAGTGCATTTTGCATGATAGGTCCCATTTAAGATTTTAACTGTATTTTTTATAGAACGTGGGTTTGACAGATCTGTCGATTAAATCAACTAATCTATTTGACAGCAATAGCTTCTGTTCCTCTAACCTTTCTTTGGGAATCTTAACAAAGCCACCGACACATAGTAGTCTACAGGATCGGCGTCCACACAGCGGGTTGTGTTAAATAGTCGATGTGTCAGTCCTGATTGTGTTTTTTCAAACATAATCCAACAAAAGAATAAAGAATAAACAGTTGAACGCTTACGACATTGAAGTAGCGCTTGATTAGTGCAGTAAGCAATAAGTGAGTCAGCTGGGCATGCTAACATTTGCTGTCAAAGGTACGGTTTCAACTATTCCCATTTTCCTCTCTGTTCTGGGAATAACATTTATTTGGAGAAAAGCTTGACAGGCCAGGGGCTTGTACTACGAAGCCGGTTCAACCTAACCTGGATGTGTTTGAATTAGCCGGTTGGCCTAATCCAAAACATACGCGCTCTCGCTAAACGGTACTACGACGCGGGTTATCAAGTGGATCGCTCAAGCCGGCCGTGTCCTATCTAGTTAGGTGCGCATTCACATGAAAGGGGTGGTATTTGGAGCATTCGACCAATCACAGACATGGAGAAGCATACTGACAGCGCAGCGTCATACTTCCTGAATGAAAAGTCAACTATAATATTAGACATATGAAGAAGTTAAACTTTAAACATCCATGACTTAAATACTTGATCCAGGATCAAAGCCACAGAGCTGCACCTGCAAGGTGAATACAGCTGGTAACAGAACAAGCGTTTGAATGCGTACATTAACAGGTTTATGATATCACTGCCCCGTCTAAGACACCATCTGACTTTCATTACATTTGACTCGAGTGTTTCGTCAACTTAATGTGTTGCTTAAAATAATACTTCTGCATACAGTATGTGACACTGTGAGTGTTGCACGGCCAGATACGGCTCAGCTGACTCAGATCAGGAGATATATGATACATTATGATGTGATATGCCGCGGACTGTACTTAATGTTACTCTGATCCGGTTACTTATGTTGTGGCAGATATTTAAGTAAGCTTTCTTAACGCTAATGTTATAATAGTCAGATTGCTCTGAAGATGGAGGTGATATTCTATTCATGTTCACGTTCACACAGTCGGTGATTTTTGCTGGCCGTCTTTCCTGCGACGGCAGCTTTTCTGTATTTCCTTTCTCCTGTAATATGACTTGATCGCTTTAAACTCCGCACACTGAGCTCTGATTGGTCAGCAGGCAGTGCTTTCACTGAGTTGATCTCCTAGCCTGCAACCTAACCTGCTCCGGGGCAGGTTAGCCGCTCAGCATCAGTTACCATGGAGATCTAGCCCGCTAAAAAGAGAACCAGCTTCGTAGGACCGGAAAGCCGGAGTTTTCCCTGAATTTAGCCGCTAAGAGAAAATCCTGCTTCGTAGTATACCCCCCCCTGCAGTGCCAAAACTGTTTTGGGGAGGGGTTTAGCATACTGTCAAACCATCTCTTCCGGCTTTCACTCTCCTAACGCCCTGTAATAAATGTTTTAATTGACAGGTCAGTATCTGCAGGCTCACAGTTGTTGTTGTTGTTGTTGTTGTTTTTGTTGTTGTTGTTGTTGGTGATCATGTTTGCCTAGCATGATGCTGAATATGTACTGTATGTTCATGTTTCTCACCATTTGCCATGTTCTCTTTTACTTTCTTTTTTACTCCCATTGTCGTTGACCTTACTTCCCTAGTTTGATTTGATTGTCCTTCTTGAAAAATCACTCTTTGTTTCTTCACATCTGCCTTTTCAATGCTATCTTTTCACTCCTTTACTTATCATCTTTTTTTCCAAAACTCTCTTCCCCTTCCTCAAGGTCTCATCTTTCCGCTCCTCTCCCCTGCTTGACCTCTTGCTTCCCTCCACACCTTCTTTTTTTTTCCTTTCTGTTTCCACATGATTGATGTGTTGCATGTGTGTCTCTCACAGACAAAGATGAGTGCAGCAAGGACAACGGCGGCTGCCAGCACGAGTGCATCAACACGGTGGGCTCGTACGTTTGTCAGTGTCGCCACGGCTTTGTGCTGCATGAGAACAAACATGACTGTAAGGAAGGTGGGTTTCACGTGCACTCACATCAGCACACACACTGGCATAAAAGCATGGGAGTGCACATGCACGTGCCGCCACATTCACACAAGCATGTGCCCCTTCACAAGAACAGTCTGCGTCCGGCTTACAGCCCGTACTCTGTTTATCCTCATCAGAGTCCTCATGACAGCAGACTGGACCTTTCCATTTGAGGACTGTTTTCTTTACATGCTTTCAGCTCCAGATCTGAAGGTTTGAGGCTTAAGATGTGGAGATGTTCTACTTTTAGTTACAAATATGACAACTGCAATCGTGAAAATGAGATGACTTTGACTTGAGGTGTGTAAAACTTGACTGGCTTGAAACTTGAACAAATCCTTGAGAAACACCATTAATAATAAAAAGACAGTGTCAGGCAGGTTTAGCATCAGATGTTAAGTAATTGATCACTCTAATTATATTATTGTTTAATATTAAAATATTTGTATCTTTACTTTGAATTTTCTATTGATGACTTGTGACTGGCTCTGAAAGACTCGAGTTTAACTTTTCATTTAAATACATCAAAATATTTTCAGTGAATTTGTTACTTTACGTGGACTTGCCCAAGACATCAGACATTACTCTATTTAATTATAGATCATTTATAACATTATAATACAGCATTTGTTTGGTGACAAGGTATTGGTCTGTGGTCAGGGGTACGGATTGACATGAGACTTGATAATAAAAATGTATTAAATTATAAAGTTCTTGTGTAGGTATTAAGAGATGCTTAACTTAATTTGCCTCATAAGACTTACAGTATAGTCACTGCATCTGTGTCTGCTGTGATGTGTGTTTTTGTGTGAGGAACACACGCACACACACACACACACAAGAGGGAAAAAGGTTTAACTTTTACATTATTTATTAAACACTTTTACCACAGTCGCCTGTGCACACACATACACACACCTGTTGAATTGACATATTATACTCAACTCTTTGAAGTTGAACTTTTGAACATGTACACACACACCACATCAACACACACACCTCTCTAAAGGCTCCCTGTGCTGCTCATAAAAACACTCGTGTTTCAAACATCTGGGAGCTTGAAAGCTTCACATGTAGCGCTGTCTTCCTGTGTGTGTGTGTGTGTGTGTGTGTGTGTGTGTGTGTGTGTGTGTGTGTGTGTGTGTGTGTGTGTGTGTGTGTGTGTGTGTGTGTGTGTGTGTGTGTGTGTGTGTGTGTGTGTACATCCACACAATATGAGCGTGTGGAAGTATAAACATGGGGAAATGTGACATCACACTGACATTTAAATAGTGTGACATGTACTGTTGACATGTTGGATAAATGCAAAAATCTCTAAAAAGTTATAATGGTCTCCTGCCAGAAGTGTGTGACACTATGAGACACCAGCAGTGGAAAAACTTAAACTTATCTTTTTCCTTTCAGGAAGACATCTGTAAAACTAGAAACTGTTGTGTTATTTACTTTATTACTGGTTCTATTATGATGCGTTGGAAGCTATAACATTTCCTGTTGCAGACAATAAGTGAAACTGAAGAGATAGTCGGTTATGTCAGAAATACAGAGTCTAAATCTGTATAATGTTTTTAGTTAGATTACTTCAAGGTGTGAGGGTTTCTGTAATAATAGTGTGTATGGAATATGACGTCTGTATTTAATATTATGTTTGACTCTCCTTTACATTTACACATTGTTATGTTGACTCATCCATCTCATTCTGTACATGGGTCCAGTTTTTCTGACTCTTAATAAAGACTGTCGCTCTGGAATACATCCTGTTGTCTTTTGCATGCCTCCTGTCTCCTATCCCCCCCATTAAGCCATTTGTTTTTTTAAGTAGGGTTTTCCTAGAAAACATGTATAGACTAACACAAAAGGAATCCCACAAAATCACCACTTATACCCCACTATGTTTCTGCAGAGAGCCTGTTCTCCGCCTGTATTTTCTCTTTTATTCTCATTCTGCTGTTGGAGTATCTCTGGGCGTAAACCTCGATTAAAAACGTAGCGACCAGCTGCCAGAACATAGCATCCAGAGGAGGTGCTGATGTAACATGGCAAGAAGACGAAGCTCAATTTAAAGCCAGAGGGAATCTTCTGGTTGGTTTTTACCCTATTGGGCACCCTAAGCCTCGGCCCTACTCTTTCTGCCTTTAATTACTATAATAGATTAATAATAATAATAATAATAATAGATTTAATTTGTTAGCGCTTTTACAGATTTTTACTATGACACGCTGATGCCATGTTTGGCAAGTCACAACACATTAGAATTAGAAGCGCTAATTAAATAGGCTAGTACATCAATCCAAAAAACTACAGGGTAACTGTTTCTTTCTGGGATCCTTATCGCCATTTTTACTCAGATTCTGTAGGACTTGAGACTTTCTCTGAAAAACTGGAGAGTGACTTGGACTTGCCGGAAAGATTCAGCACAAACAGAACGAACCATTGACTGAGAAACAGTTAATGTAACTTTATAATTTATGTAATTTACTAGTTTGGTCAAAGCTGAGAGTTCAGCTCAGTCCCAAAGGTGTTTTTATTTATTTCTTTGCAGAAGGTTATTTGTTGCATTGGAGGTACAGTGTAGATGGATGTAGTTGTTTTGGGTTAAGATGAAGCTGACTGTTAAGGCATGTGATTCATATAATTTTCATACTAACGGAAACATCCAGTGATCGCTCGTACAACATATGGAAGCATCTGAATTCTTAATGTTTCTTCATCTCTATCTGTCTTCCTTCTATTTGTCACTCATTTCTGAACTCATCCAAAATGGACCCTGAATCTTAAAAGGATGTGATTGAAATGGTGAATCTTGTAACTGTGGCCGGCAAAAAAACAAACAGCAAGAAACTGAATTCAACGCTCAATAATTCATGTTCCAATCCTACACATCTTTTGCTTTTAAGATCCATGGGGGCTTATATTTGAAATAACAGTGTTTACAATGAGTTCTCTGTTTTTGTAGGAATGGTTAATGTAAATAAATGAGCACACAAATACAATTTTCTTTGCTTTTATGCTATTAAATTATTTAAATTCCAAGGTTTGGTCACATCAAGAACATTAACATTAATTTCACCTTTAAATATTGTATGTAATGAATGATTTCTACGACTAAAAGAGACTTTTTACGAGGTCTCCATCCTTGCACAGTACAGTAGGCTCAGTGTGCAGTGTTTTTTTAAAGCATGCGTGCGTGCTTCCATGTGAAATTCACACTGAGCTTGTCATCAGGATGTGTTTCTTTGAAATCTTTTCTCTCTCGTTTGGTTCTCTCGTTTCTCCTCTTCCTGTTCCCTTTCCATTTCCTTTGACCTTTTCCTGTGCAGCCATGATTTTAACTTCCTCTTTATGTGTATGCTTGCGTGTGTTTTTGGATGTGCGTGTTCAGCTGAGTGTGAGCATAAGATCCACAGCCCCAGCGGGACCCTGAGCAGCCCAAACTGGCCGGACAAGTACCCCAGCCGTAAGGAGTGCACCTGGGACATCACCGCCACACCCGGACACCGAGTCAAGATCGTGAGTGATCTGAAATCAAGCGGATTGTGAAGCTTCTTTAACCCATTTTCCTTTAGCATTACTGGCCCTCTTCCCTTCCTCATAAATAAGCATTATTCTGTCTGTGGGGTCATATCTCATGTTAAACCCGCAGGCTGCCCTTCTCTCGCGATGATCTCTCTTTCCCATGTTCCACTTATGAAACCCAAATGAGAACGGGGGGAGAAAGTTCACGTTTGTATATTCGGGCTAACTGCAAGCGTGTGCTCATGCGTTAGAAAGAGGCCTTGGGCCGTGGCCATCTGTGTTCTTGTGGCTTTCTGCGTATGTGTGTGTGTCAGCGTGTGTGTGTTTGTGGGTGCATTTAGCCTGCATGTACACACACACACACACACATGCATGTAAGCATGTATGATCACCACAAAGTCATTTTTACTTTATTGAGTTGCAGCGGATGTAATTATTTGAGAATATACCAACATATAGTGTGTCATGTGCATGATGGCTGCACTGAGGACTTCCAAGTGTGATTGTAATTTGTAGGAAGAGAGACAGAAAGGTAAAGAGGAGAACATTATGTGAGAGAAGCAATGGAATTTCTCCTGACTCAGGTGATTTCCAGAAGATACTTGCAAAACTTGATTGAGTGTATCGAGACACAAACCATCAAACAGGCCTTTGAGCATCAGACAATAATGTGGTCTAATTTTGTGATACACTTTTACGCTTCATACCATCACGAACACTGTAGATAAACAGCTGGAATGCTGGCTGCATTATTCACACACTTACCTGCATATCCTGTACCTAGAGCATCATAAAGTACATGAGGGGGGAGATCAGGATCATGTATGTCCCACACTGACATGTCCTCCTCTGTACTGTAAGTACATTAAAAGGAGCAGTGACGAAAAGCTTTTTACTTTCTCTGCAGAAATTCAGCAATGACGGTTCCCATGTGTTTAAAGTCAGCTGCTGACCTTACTTTGTAGTCTGCTCCTACATGGGCTTCATTTTATCTTGCCAATATGTAATAATGTAAAAGAATGCATGCAAGCAAAGCTTATTGGGACCATACAAATATGTGCAGCTAACGACGCAGCATCAACGACTGTTTTTGATAATGTTTTATATTTCCGATTCCTTGATTAAATATATGGTCTACTCTACAATATATCAGAAAATAGCAGCCGTCTGCTGATGTTGCTGCATGCATGTTATAAAAAACAGTCATCAACCGTCATTTAGTGTTGATCTCTTATCTATGCTTGCATAACTGAAAATCATCAAAAAAGCACATTAAGTACTTTTTGGCTCCTGATTTAAATGTGTGACTACATTTATTTTACGCACTAACATATGAAATGTGTTGTTGTGTGTGTGTTGAGATTAATAGTGGTTAGCGCGTAATGACATCACAGCGGGATATATTTAAAACCAGAAATCCGGGTGTAGACTTGTAATTAAGGTCATTCAGTTATTGTCTCTCTCTCTCACACACACACACACACACACACACGCACACACACACACACACACACACACACACACACACACACACACCCTAAACTCTCTTGGGAGAAGTAAACAGATCCACAAACCAGTATCTCACCGAGCTACAGTCAGAAACATCTGGAAGCCATCACGACCCCACAATCAAAAACTTCCCCTCTCGGTAACGACATCCGCACATCAGCCCACCTTCGCCCACCTCCCTCTTTCCGCCTGGCCGGTAAAATCAGTGCGGTACGGTGTTTGTGGTGGCGTCATGGAGCACGGTTCAGAAGACAATCAGAGAGGTGTATGAGTGTGTGTGTGTGTGTGTGTGTGTGTGTGTGTGTGTGTGTGTGTGTGTGTGTGTGTGTGTGTGTGTGTGTGTGTGTGTGTGTGTGTGTGTGTGTGTGTGTGTGTGTGTGGGAGAGACGCCTGCAAGGTGTTATGACTCAGCTCACGGTGACTTGATTAGATTAGTAGTCGTGACACTGTGTACATGCATGTCAGTGTGTAAGCAACGTGTAGGCAAAGAAGCAGGCGTCCTTGTTCTGCAGATTTATATCAAAGAATATAAAATGCTTATATTTTAATTCTGGTTGAAAGAGCTTTACAGATGTGTAACATTGACGTAAGATTATTTCGTAGTGTTCCCTGCATCTCTACGAAATGTGTCTCATTTAGGAACTGTTAAGTTCTTTCTTCACCAATATTGCTGTCTTTTGACCACGATAGGCAGCTGTTCTCACATGTAAAGCTCCTACAAACCAACTAGCTGGTTATGACCATGGAGCACTACAAAAGCTAAAAGGTCAGATCATTCTCTCAGGGTTTGGCGGAGACCAGAAGAGCGCTAAAATCAAAAACACCATGGTTTCTTACCACACAGATTGTTTCAGTTCCATCTGCTATAGGTTTGAGGGATCTGTGTCTAAGATCTGTGCATCATCTTAACCCAACAGAGGTTGATGGAGTTAAATATGTGTTGTTTAAAGCATTGAAAATCACAAAACTTGCCTTCCCAGATACGGTGTCCCTTTTTATTCTGATTGTACCAGGGGCCTAGCCTTCTAAAAGGTTTTCATTCAAACTATTTTCTAATAAAGAAATAGTGATTGGTACTCTTCTTCTCTTCTACACCTTCTTGCCTCTCACTCAGTGCTCTCTCCTCTCTGCTTCCTTTCCAGGCCTTCAATGAGTTTGAGATTGAGCAGCATCAGGAGTGTGCTTATGACCATCTGGAGGCCTTTGACGGGGACACTGACACGGCAGCCATCTTGGGTCGATTGTGTGGCAGCAAGATCCCGGAGCAGCTGGTCTCCACTGGAAACAAGATGTACCTCCGCTTCATTTCTGACGCCTCGGTGCAAAGAAAGGGCTTCCAAGCTACACACTCCACAGGTGTGTGTGTGTGTGTGTGTGTGTGTGTGTGTGTCTGTGTGGAAGAACGACCAAGCGCTTATGTGTTAGTGATAAAATAACACTTATGTTAGATTTTGTGTCTGTAAAGAGCATCACTGACAGTCACCAGACTGACTTGTAAAGTTTGAATAGTTTTTTTAAGAGCAATAACTCCCCCCAGTGGTTCACAACAGCACATGCATGATGAATATCATTTGTGAAATCTGACTAGAGTTTATTGAGTTTTTAGGAAAACACAAAATTTAACAAATGCCAGATTTTTCAGATTAAAATGTCCCTCTTTCTGACCCTGTGTCTCTGCAGAGTGTGGAGGTCGTCTGAAGGCAGAAGCTCGTCAGAAGAACCTCTACTCTCACTCCCAGTTTGGAGACAATAATTATCAGGGGCACACTGACTGTGAGTGGCTGCTGTTGGCCGAGCAGGGCTACGGCATCGAGCTGAGCTTCATCACGTTTGAGGTAGAGGAGGAAGCTGACTGTGGTTACGACTACATCGAGCTGTACAACGGGTACGACGCCAACGCACATCGACTCGGTCGCTTCTGCGGCTCAGGGGTAAGATTTGAGTTCTTATTAAAAGGGAAATTTTTCACCATTTGATTGACTTTTACACCAAAACGAACAACAAATACATTCCAATAAAAATAATTGCTCATACCTTTAAAGGCAGCCATTAGATATTTCCAAATAAAAAATGTATTAACTTTTATTAAGATTACTTTTTTGTTTTAACTTTAACAATACAATTTTCCTGTAGTGATGATTGTGTCGTTTAATAATCACTGAATTTCTAAATTTGTCAAAGGAAAAAAAGCAATTGGTACAGAGATTCATGTATGTTGTTGACACCTGTAACCAGTAGCATTAATACAATACCTAGTCTTTGTCACCTCACATCAACATTTTGAGCTAAAACTGCTGAACAAAGGTGCCCTATTTAGGAAAAAATCAGATTTATTTACTTAATTAAAGGTGGGGTAGGTAATTTTGGAGAAACCAGCTCGAGTGCGCTAGAATTTGAAAATACACAGCTGGAAAAAATCTGCCACTTCCTTACAGAGCCCCTCCTCCAACACACACGAACGGGTACATGACCAATGAGGGCACAAGATAAGTTTGTGCACAGATGGAAGGCTGACGGGCAGGTAGGCCATCCAGTTACTTTAGCCGGGCTGGCTAAAATGATTGGTCGTGCTTTTTACAGTACTACGGCTTCCACAGATGACATTTTTGAATGGATTTTTTGTCAAAGCACTTCAGATATTCATTGCTATCGGGATGTTAAGAGTATTCCATGGAATATAACAAAAAGTGTATCTCGAGCCGGTTTCTCAAACTTACCTACCCCACCTTTAAGTATAACAAAAATTAAAAAATGTATCAATAACACAGTGAAAAAATGACCTTTATCTTCAAATATAAGTAAAAGACTTTCCACCAATAAGAATACAACAGTCAAACCGGTTTCAAAAGTCTTCTAGTTAATGTTCATTTTTTACAGAGCTAATGAAAATGTTTCCTGGAAGTTGGGAAACTATACCTAAAAACACACCTTTGACATATAGTATATTGTATTTTGATATTAAAGGACTAAGTTATACAGTACTCTCTCTCTCCCCCCCTCAGCCCAGGGAGGGGATCTACTCGCCCGGAGGTGCTATGCTGATCCGTTTCCATAGCGACGACACAATCAGCAAGAAGGGCTTCCACATCCACTACACGAGCACCAAGTTCCAGGAGAGCCTTCACACCAGGAAATGACCTCACACACACTCAGCCCGCGACCTCTGACCTCTGTGCAGCCCCCCCCTTCACCCTGACCTTCACTATGGCAACAAAAAAAAGTACAGCCTGTCCCCTCTGCTCGGACCCGACGTACAGAAGTGGATGTCCGCAGGAGGAAGACGACACTTTGACGTGAACATTAGTCTCTCTCTGCGGGTCATCAGACAGGAAACACATGAGGGCTGGTTTTCATTTCTGCACATCAAGATACAGTGTGGATACTAAAGAGTACAAACACAAACACACAAGATTCATATTCAGAATATAAACTATGGCTTCTCGAGGAGTAAGGAGCTTCTGCTGAAAAGAAAATGCATCCAACACAGGAGTTTTTTCGGACTTCTTGTGCGACTTACTGTGATCAGACGGCTGCTCATACCCACAGTAACTGAGAGGAAACTCTAAAATAGACATTTTTATTGCCTTTGATGCCTGGGAACTGGTCTCTTCACCCCAGCTCAGATCGGCTGCAGATGATTTTAATTCACGTCTTATTGTAAAACCCATTGTGTTTACTGTATGTGTGTACAGAGAAAACAAACAAAAGGCTGTCATGTTTGCTTAAAGCTTATGCAGACGACCATCATGGAATGGGAGAAAAATATATAAAAAAATGCAAATGGAGAATTTCCAAATGATCTGTGATGTTATTGTAAAGCCTTGCATTATGTTGTGTGTGTGTGTCCGAGCGTGTGTCCATGCCGTTTGAGTTTTTTTGCACCATCTTGTAACAAACTTTCATGGATGTTTCCACCTCACCCCTCCCCAAAAATAAAAGTGGATATCGTAAGGGAATATTTTCACAGCTGTCTCTCGGAGTGACACGATTCTGATTGATGGAGAGATTCCCATGGTGCTAAAAATGAAACTACACTGAATGACAGATGACTGCGATTGGAAGTAAAGGGTTTCAGTAGGAGACACAGTCGGCGTGCAAACAGCACAATGCATCAACAGCACTAGTCCTGTGGAACTACAACATTGCCTTAGAACCAAAATGGATGCTGTCCGAGAGTTTTCAAGGTTTTTTTGGCAGCATGTTTCATTCGTTGGAGATCTTGAATGGTTTTATCGTGAAAAACAAACATGGGAAATGTAGTCTGTGTGTGAGATAAAGTGTCAATGGTGCATGAGTGTTTGTGTGTTGAAGCTGCTTTCAGAGATACATACACACATGCTTACACATCCACAAATGTTGTGCGCTTTTTCCCCCAACATATCTCAGCACACACTTCCCTTTCTGTATATTTGGAGCGAGGAGAGCAAAGTGCTGTAAAGTTGAAAGAATATCAAGGTGCAAACAGGTTGCATCGTTTGTTGTGTTAAATGCAAAATGTGTAAGTGTGTGTTATAGGAGATTATAAAGAAATAATGTGCGTGTATGTCTGTAAACTGTATGTTTTTAAGTTGAATCATTCATTGCTGTACGTGCCAAGCTCCACCCTGATCCACTGTAGTTTTTGTTTTATCACTCAACCTCTGTGTCTGTAGTTCAGAGACACTGACATGACGTCCTCTGCATCAGTCATTAAAATACACACAGGTCAAAACTACACTGTCTTTTGTGGATTTTTGCTGGGTTTTATGAATGGATGTACGTTGTTTTGACCTGTTGAGGCAGATAAGTGCCAAATATTGATCAAAATCAAGGCATATTCCCTTGTGTGATAGTTATTTATAAGTGTTTTATTTCACATAATAATTATATTATACTTATGTTAGCAACCTTTATTGTAATTTTCTGTTTAGTCCATTACAAAGGTGAAGTAAAAGAAGCATTTGAATGTTTTCGTCAGACTACTTTATTTCATGTTCCTCTAAAGCTCACTTATTCTACTTGAACAGTCATATTGTGTGTTTCTATAGAACCTGGAATAACACTTTAAACCTATTCAGTGTTACATTTAATTATAATCATTTGGGAAATATGATTATGATCACTTGGTCAGCTAAGAAGATACGAGTAGGCCTACTGTTAAAAATAATGTCTAAAAAATAAATATTGCTCTAGAAATGAATATAATGCTGTGTATCAACTTCCAATAAATAAAGTGGCTAGGCTTAACTAGGCTTATTATTTTTGATGCATTCTGAAGAAAGAGTCACTGCTGAAGTTGTTGTTCCTTGATGTTTAGAAAAGAAATAAAAACAATCACAATTGCAGGACCTCATGGTTAACAGGAACTAGCCTAGCTTAGCTCCTTTATCATCCACAAACCCTGCTTTTAAAAGCTGGTTTAAACCATCATCCAAGGCCGTAAAAAAATTAGTGGTGTGTGTGTGTGTGTGTGTGTGTGTGTGTGTGTGTGTCACAGCCTGCCGAGGCTATAAATGACTTTGATTTGTTGTTTAAATAGGGGGCCTACCAAACCCCAGGGCCTGATGGCAGGTTAAGGCGGGCTTGGCCGTAACCATGGAGTCAACATTGGGGGGGACCAACGATTCAATCATAAGTTGAATATTCATTTTGTGCCATTCTAAAGGAAAATATATTAAAATTCACTAACACATGGGATACTTTAAAACCTGTTAAACCCCATGCCCCCGCCCATGGGGGCAAAACACAACAATATTCACGAAACTGTGTCTCAGGCATGGGCGTAGGAAGCATTCTCAATGTGGGTGGGACAATGTGACGGGGGGTGTGGGCAGGTGGGGGACCTAACCTCCTCTAGGGGGGTCCGTGGGCATGTTTTTTTAAATGTTGAAGTTGAATGCATCAATCTGGTGCACTTTGAGAGCAACATTAGGGACTACATCTATGGATACATCTCTCAACACCCATATGAAACAGAACTGTAACAGATTTACTTTTTCTTTATGCATATTTTACAAATCACCCCCCTAGCTACTATTCCTGAAAAGTTCGTTTTTTAACATCAGAACTACAAGTTATTTACACAAAGAAGCTAAACCGGAGGGTTCATTAACATTACCATTACGAAATAAAATAATATAGTTTAGGGCTAACTAGAAAAAGATACCAGAACTGATGGAGGGCAAATTAAAACATGGCTGACGTGCTTGGAGCATCAACGCTAACTGAAGCTGGACTCGGACGTGCAACAGCAAAATACACCCCCCGGGTACAAAATAAAGGTATGCATAAACAAACAAAGGTGGAACAATTTACATATGAAAAGAATATATCATTTTGGTGAAGAAAATAAAGATTTTCAAGTATACAAATAGCCAAAATAAAAAAGTCATAGAATAGCAATTTTATTTTTATTTTTTTACAACATTTTGAGCGTATCTGAATATTGGGGGGGGATGTGCCCCCCCCCCCCATGTATATGGTGAATTCGGCCCTGCCATCATCACACCCGTAGATCACACCCAGGTGACAATTGTCGGAAGTGACAACCAAATATAAATGTGAGCTGTGTAAACAAGTATTATTAATAATAATAAACAAAGGCTAAATAGGAATTGTGGTTCCTACAGTCTGATATAATAGTATTTAATGGTTTACTTTTAACGTCTCGCTAAGGTGTGGAAAAACAACACTGCGCATGCACAAAGCCTAGATTTCCTACGTTTCCCCCCAGCTGGGGGTACACCAAATACTGTTGTAGTCTGAAAAAGTTTGTATCGCATTTGAAGAAGAGAAAGATGTTGATTATCTTTTACAGCTAAGAAGAACCTTATAGAGTTGAACTTGACATCAAACACCACTGATAGTAAACACACACAAAAAAAATGATTTAACGTGGAGTGGTTGTCCGAGACCAAAACAGCTAACTGCTAGCTTGCCAGAGAAGACACGTTTACTTTCCGTTTTCTTTAACTTTATTCTGAGGGCATTGCACCTCAAAGCCAGACTTTTAGGATGTCAAGCATCTTTCTGAGAGGATTATTAAACATGAAGGCAGCATGACAACAAGCTGAACCTTGGCAAACATGGCAACCCAAACTGACATAACTCACATTAAGGACAACAGTCAGGTACGTGTCTGATTAATATAACCTGTGTTAAACTGTGGGAAATATGAAGTATACAGTGATCAATTGGACACATATTTTATCCAAGTACTTGAGGTACTTCATTACTGGGACTGAATACTCCATTTCCTGGTTCTTTATACTTCCAGTACTTCTCAGATACTTTTTACTTCACTACATTCACTACAAGATTCAGAATAATCCTACAACAAAGATACACCAAACAATGTATCATGTATTGAGATCAAATGTATTAATTTATTGGTTAAATTCACAAGCCAGCCAGAATAAATAGGCCTTTAGTTTAAAAGTGTACACTGCTCATTTACTAGTCTATGGGATGAACACATTATCCAATATTTAAATTAAATGTATTTTAAAGAAGGGCCGGAAGAATGACTTTCAAAATGAATTTTCAAATTTTCCAAAATGTAAAAACTACATCAAGGCTATATTTTTTAGACACTTTGACAACAATATGATCGTTGATCTACATAGATTAAGATCTATGTTTGACCCATTTTAAGATTTTATGGATAAGCCACGACTTACCTTTTATAGGATCAGTTAGACCGGCTCTGAGTTAGACGAGCTTCAGGTGTCACACTTTTATGCAACCGGGTGCAACCACACATAGCCACGTGCTGATATACAGCCAGAGGACCACTAGAGGGCGCTCTGTTCAAGGTTTTTAAAGTTGCTCTGAAATGGATCAAATGCTGGTGTTTTTTGTCATTTTACTTATAAGGAATGGTTGAAGTTTTTAAAATGACAGCATGAGTTTCTCTGAGATGAAAACGGAATGTTGATCAAATATGTGTAAAACTCATAAATGTTTTTTTTTTTAAATGAGAAATAATACTTTTAATTTGGACTTGTTTTGATGAGAGCATCATGTTAAAATAACATCATACTAGTTAACTGTACATGTAGTTTCACAAATTGTCGCTGGGGTCCAACTGTGGCTCCATCTACAGTCTATGATGACCAACCTTAAGGAACAATTGAACCAACTTAAAAGAAAAAAACAGCAGGTTATGTGATCAACACAACTATGACTTATACCATCTTATTTCAATGAAGTCGAATATTGTTTGTGCTGCACAAACCGTTGAAAAATGACATGAACAAAAGGCAAACTTCATGGACTCGTGTTTGATTAGTGGATTCATCCTGAGACTTTTTATAGACTTTCACTGAGTACACATTGATTTAGTGGTGCAACTAACAATTCTTGTCATTAATGTGCTAGATATTTTTACAATAAATTGAGTCATTGTTTTGCCCCTAACCTGATGAAGAAAAGGCCAATCACATTTCCCTTAGCCCCAGGTTACATATTCAGATCTCCTTCTTTGTCAGTTCAAAGAGCAAATATGGTCCTTTCATATAAGACAAAGAAAAGCAGCAGGTTCACCAGGACATTGGTGAAACATGATTCAAACTATTAATGCATTATTAAAGTAGTTGCTGATTTATTTTGTCTATCGACTTATCATACCAGCTCTAAAATGATTAATCCTTAGAACGAGTATCTTGGTTACTCTAGGCAATGCACAGACCCCAGTGTCATCAGTCTATAAGGAGCTCTTTTCTTATAGAAAAATAAAATCAGCTTTATCTGACCATTTAGACATTTTAACTCAAATTCACAACAGCCGAGTCAATATGATGAACTGACCATTTTTAGTTTGCATGTTGTAGAACCTGCTGTAAAAAAGTATTCTCATTCTGTTCACACAACGCACCATGTTGGTGCTGAAATTAAAACCCTTCCAAAAATCTCAGAATTTCCAACTGTGATGAGACGGATCTCCTGAGGAAGATCATGGGATATGACTGAAAGCTTCAGAACAGCTACAAATCTACTTTGAACATTTTGTCACCTTTTTAGAGGTCAATATAAACATTGTATGCTTTAACATGGACACACAAGTCCTTAAAGTGCTCAGGGAATTGTAGGGGTTGATATTTACACTTTTATGATCTTGACAAGCTCCGCTTCCTTAAGAACATTATGTGATATCATTGAAAACTCCAGATAAGACAACAAATGGACCTCATGGTGAGATTTTTTTGTGTGTGTTGTGCATGTGAGGGTGAGGTGGAGCTCATTCTGTTCAAACATCATTTTTGGTCACATAGCATCTTTAATACCACCATTATAATAATTAGGATATCAAAAGTATCGAGTATACATACATCATTTGCATTGCGGTACACAAATCTGAGCTGATTTATGTTTTTATATCTTTCATTCGTTGTTCTCAGGATCAACTTTTATTGTCTCGACATTGTGCTGATACATTGAATCGTCCTGAAGAACTTGACGCTATTTCAGGAAGGAGAACATTTAATTGGACATGTATTGTTAAGTAATATAAAACGTTTTTTTGATATTTCCAAATGTAACTTGAATCCTATAGTCTACTACTTTCCAATACCAATAGTCAAGAATCTTGATATAAGCCAAACTAGAGTCCATGTCACCAAAAATCAAAGTACTTCAGGTAGGTTTCCTCACCTACAGTGGTCTTGTAGTTTCTCTTTTTTGCAGTAAAGTTCTTGAAGCTGTGGGAACAGTCTCTTGAAGCCATGCCTGTTTTTGTAACAGTCCCAGTAAATGGATTCTCAGGAGTCTGAAGATGTGTGTTTATGTGAATGTGTGTGTATTGGTTGAGGAAAGTGAGGGTCTAAAATGGTGAAGCCCCTCACTTCCTCTGTCCTCCACCACCGTCCATGGTCTCAGTCTGTGCTGCTGTCAGACACTGGTGATGGAGGCCAGGCAGTTCGATGACTTCTGGAGTTTCTCAGGCTGTGTGGTGGGGGGCTCTGGGATGGCGCGAAAGCTGAAAGGCAGTCCGATACTACTGGTGCCGATGTGGCCGGGGCTCAGCGCTGGATTATGCCGTCTATTGCTTTCCACAATGCTGGATGTGTTGGATGCAAGGCTTTCACGTGTCCTGCACAAGAGACAACAGAGAGTCAAGTGTTGGCTTTCAAGATGCAACAACATATCTCACATTGTGTATGGCATTGGTGGTGCTTGGCTAGAAAAACAGAATACCCCTAAAATAAAACTATTTTCAAGTATATCTTGTAGCACGAAAAAAAAAGGATACAGACTAGTTACTGAGAAGAAACAGGTGATGTAATCAGGATACTTTTCCACTCTCTTGGATTTAAAGATATTTGATAGAGAGTCTAAGGACAGTTGATCTTGAGTTGCAATGTGGGATCTAGCTTATTTTGAGCTGAGTCTACAGAAATAGCTTGCTGCCTTATACATTTGTTTTTTCTTTTGATAAACTAATGTTTGTAGTTGTTCATACGAAGTCGAAACTTTTATTCTCATTTCAAAATTTGTATCCATTTGACATTTGGCTCAGCTGTTTTTGGCGGATTTTGCGGGAGGGGAAAACTGTTCCGATACAAATATTTCGTATATCAATATTTTAATAAGGTAGGACACTCGTTAATAATATTGTAGCGTGTTCAAGTAACCAAGGGATATAGTAGATGTGCACAGTTATAAGTTTTACAGTTATGTAATGCACTGTTGTTGGGGGGAGAGACCGCCCCTTCCATATGAGTGTGTGTGTACGGCGGGCATGGAAAAGTCATACTCAGTGCGGTGAGCGCTGGCTTTATTGATAGCACCCCACGCAATAGTTGGGACTGTGTACTGACGTCAGTAAAAAAGGTTTGCCCCCCCCAAGCGCAAATGTCAAACTCCGCCTATGGCGTACATAACATGCATTTGTAAGTTACTTGCATGTTGCATTAAGGTCTCTTTCAGTTAATGTTCAAACACAAAATGAAGCAAGCAACATAATGAATACAACAAATTCATTAGCGTTATACTATAATAGATATTATTGTTTACTTTGGCAAGAAACTGGTGCCATAAGCCTTGTTTTACTAACATCTTATCCAATTGAAATGGCACCATTGGCACTTGACACTAAGAGCTGCTCCAACAAATAGCAAATCATAAAAATTACTATAAAAATAAACTTTGTTTCCACTTTATTAGGTTTACCTCTAAAATGTAAGGTAATACTACCTCAGTAATTGGATTCACACATTCCTGACAACAATACCATAATCATTATCAGTTCCTTAAATGTGTTGTATAAGCTATATTGTTCACTTGTATCTAATACGGTGGTCCCTGAGTGTTGATACAGAGTTGAGATCTGATTGAATTGGAAATGAAATAGGTACTACAGATGTGGGCTGAATCCATCCACTGAGAGAAACTGTTAGAGTTGAATCTTCGGACAAAACTGAGAATGTGGACCTTGAGCTAATAATAATAATTTGTTTTATCAAAATAAAAGGTTACTTGGCCCTGGAGGGTTAAATGTTTTAAGCCATTTATATTAGCCCCAATGTGTGTCACCTAAAGTTTGCCCTCCACAGTAAGCCCTAAGACGTAAGAAGAGTTCACAGTTCATGGATCATCATCTTTCATTCGTTATCGATCATTTTCACACAAACCTGGGGGAGTTGAATCCACTATCCACCGTGACACTGCTGCTGTCCATGCTGTCCAAGCGTGCAGAGTGGGCCGACTTCTGGCTGCTGCTGTTCTCCGTCTCCTTGGGGCTGAGTAAGGTCAGGTTGGTCTCCAGTTTTCGCTGCAGATCATGATCCTTTTCCCGGTCCATGAGCCACTGCATGGTTCCCTCCCCGCCACCACCACTGCTTCCACCATTACCACCGACTTCCCCATGATCCTTGTTGTCCTCTGCCGTCGCCAACTCTTTGTGCGAGTCCTCCTCTGCCTCTTCCTCTTCTTCATCATCTGATACATTATAATAGTCAAAGGAGGCGGAGGGGACTGTTGGCTCTAAGCAGCTCTGTAAAACTGCCGGTGACACTGAGGAAGTGGCTGAATTGGAAGGCTGCTGGGGCTCAGGATTGTCTAGGGCCTCTGTTGATTTGGCATGTGAGGCTTTCCGCAATGTGCCGGACTTGGTGTAGCTGCTGTCCACGTAGCCTGTGGACAAGGCATTGTGTGGAGGTTTGAACAAAGTGTCCTTGCTGAAGATCTCTTTCCTCTTGATCGACATACCACCGCCTCCCCCACCGGGATCTACATTGTGTTGGTGTGGCGTCAAACGGGCATTTTGCGCCGGCTCTGGCGTCTGGCTTGGCGTCAGCCGCACTGAGCCATTCTGTCCCTTTGCTGCCGACAAGTCCTCTTTGTACTCCATCGTGTGAGGAGAGGTGAGGTGAGGCGTTTGCCGGTCAGCCGGAGAGCCCTTTCGGAGTCCCCCTGATGAGGTTAATGTGTCATATTCTGATTTTGCCTGAGGCGAAGGGGCAGTTAGGATTGTTTCATTTGACGTATTGCACTGGAAGTACTCATCTGTTGAGGGCTTAGGAGAAAGTCCCATTAGCTCATTGTACGTTGGCAAGCTGTCTCTGCTTTTGTTCCTCTCCATCGTACTCCGAATCCTTGACTCGTCCAAACTCCCTTTCCCCAAATCAGGCACATTAAAATCAGAGTGGAACTTAGCAGCAGAGAACATGATCCTTGAGAAGTGGGAGGACTTCTGCGTGGCGCGCAGGGTGCCGTCGTCAGTGTAGTAATGACTACGCTCCTCCAGAGTGGGTTCAAAGTCTTCTGGCACCCCCAGTGATGGAACCTTGAGGGAGTTGTCCATGGACCGAGAGCGTTCCTTAGCTTGATCTGACCTCTCGTGACGCGACTTCCTCTCCTGATTGTGACTGTGACTTCTCTGCACTCTGGACTGGCACGTCCCGCGCGACGGCTCAGGGAAGGGCATCTCTGTCCGTCTTTTGGCTAGCTCCCCGGACACATCCCACTCAGGGGTAACAGGGCAGGACGATTCAGTAACGTTGGGGTTGCTATGGACCAGGTATGTTGCGCCTCCACTTCGCCTGCGCTCCAAGGTGTACATGGCCTCCCGAGGCGAGCGAACTAACGAGTGGCTAAAGAAGCGGAAATCCCTTTCCATGAACAAGAGGTCCCAGTTTGAACCCTCGGACGGGTCTCCCCTGGAGGTTCTGGGTTTGCTGTGTGAGCGGGATTTACCATGTGTGGCCCTCCTGTGGCCCCTCCCCCTCCTGCTGCGTGCACTGTGGTGGGCTGAAGACCCCGCCTTGTTCTTCTGCGAACGCTCCTCCTCAATCCTCTTCATCACAGCCGTGTGCCTTGCAACGTTCTCAACAGTTAGATCGGGGTTGATTCTGCGGATTATCTCCATCTCCACCTCGCGGGGCATGGCCGGGGTTGGCACTTCCTCGTCACGAAGAGGCCACTCCTCCGGGGGGAACTGAGCTGAGAAGGTGGCAAGCTGCCTCATTTTGTCCTTCTTGAAACTCAGCCTGAAGAGCCTGAGACCGAACCTTTTAGATTGCTTCTCGCCACTGCTGCTGCCACCACTTCCTTCTTTCTTTTTGGTGAGAGTGTCAGTTTTATAAGGAAAAGAAGTGATGCTTTTGCTCTTATCAGCGGGCTCTTGAGGCGGCGGTTGCACGACAGGAGGGGAAGTGGGAGGAGGAGGATGAGGGTATGATGGCGGTTCTCCTCGGTGCTCCTTAGCTGACGTGCTTGGTGGAGTTTCCCCACTCTTGTGATCCTTGGGCGGCTTACTTTGATAAGAATCTCCCCTGTGCTCCTTTGGTGACTTGGTACTGTGAAGTCTGGACGAGTCTTCGCGATAGGAGTTGTATGAGTCATTGTGATTCTTGCGAGGAGGCCTCTCTCTCAGGCAGCCAGGTGTAGATGGTGTTACATTACCAGACGGAGGTGAAGTGCATTGCTGAGGTTGCTGCTGCTGTTGACTTTGTTGCTGCTGCTGCTGTGACAGTAGCGGTGAGCGCTCTTGCAGCCGATCATCCAGGTGATACCACTTGTTGTTGGTTCTGATGAGGGACGGAGTGATAAAGTAGGTCTGGGGGGTGACGATGAAGTAGCCCTCTGGAGTTGGGTAGATCTTCCTCTCTCGCACCAGCATGTTCAGGGTATGTCGCAGAACCTCTGAGCTGGGTGTAGGCACACCTGCAAGACAAATACAAATCAGCCACAGTTTTGAAACACATTTAATTTAAAAAACATTGTTATAAAATCATTAAAAATGTGAAAAATACATATATTCTCACACGAGGCATATCAAATATCGGTGCACAATTAAACCTAAAGTTGGTTAGAATATAAAAAAAATGGAACTAAGCAGTTAAAACAATTTAAAGGATGAAACTTAACTGAACTATTGTTTAAACTAAATTTTCCATTACATAAAAAAAAAATCTTCTATCATTTTATTCATGCTATATAATGTTTTTTGTATTTATTTTTTACATGAAACAATAACTAAACTTGACAAATACAATGCGATCTCAGAAGAATTTGAGATAAACTTAAACTTCGGTTTGGATTCAGCTTGACAGCACATAAACAAATAATTGAATACAAGCTATTAATTTGGGTTCTCTTCTATTTTTTTACAATTCTTTAAATAAATAGTAATGTAAGTGTAAAAGTATTTATTTGTCTATTTTTGAATTCTAGAAAATAAAAAAAATAATTGCAGATATTTTATGCGCCTCTTTTAGTAAATGCAGTTGAGTTTAACCCAACAATAACACTTTGCATAACCCAGCTTTTTCTTATATTGACCAACAGCACACAAATCCACATACATGGTTATGTAACACCATGACTTGATATGACAACCTAAGATTTAAGCTGTATGCAAAAAAGGTAATTAATAAACACTCTTAAAGATAATTAATCAGTCACCTCAAGAGTTTAGTTTAAATGGCCACGTAAACATTAAAAGTCCATTTTAAATAAAACTATTCATAGCCTTTGTCTGGCATGGCCCTGTGTTGCCTGACATTACATCACCCTGTTTTTTTCTACACAGCAACGATGCAACCTATAAGTTCAACTCCTTTCCACGCTGGCATTTAGTAGAGGATACATATTTCCTTTTAAACTTGGCTACACAGTGGGTAATCTTTTTAGTGTTTGGGTAAAACCTCAGATGTTAAACATTGTGTTTGGACACATCTCAAAGAAAATTACTTTTGTGTTAAAATATTACGTCTATTTATTTATATTAAAATGTTATTTTTGGAACAACGGACCAATTTGGAAACAGAAATCACAGAAAATAGTCATACAAATCTTTGAGAGATTAAGCCTGGCCATCCTGCAAGAGAATATCCACAATTCAGAATAAATCATTTGTTCATAGGCAATGTCACATACGTATAACAGCACTTGATTAAAACATAGGAAAGGAAGAAGGTAGGTGTTTTTGTACTTTTTACACATGTCCGTGGTATGATGTGATATTCAAGTTTAGGACTGCAACAATTTTGTTAACAAAATGTCAGAAAAAAGTTTTAAAATGTACACCATAATTGGTGGTGTACATTTAGGGCAATCAGCTTTATTTCGCCCCAAAAGTCAACATTTGAAAACTATTCTCTTTACTATGGTATATGACAGAGAAAATCAGCAAATGTTAAAAGCTGCTTTAATAGTGTAATAATAAAATGGTCACTATCATGAAAATAGTTGCCAAATAATGTTCTGTTCTAATCGCTTAATCGTTCAATTGTCTCAAATCTATTCCTGTAGAAACATAATGCTGTTTGCTTGTTGGTTGATAGGATGACATATTTGAATATGAAACGAATAATTTGCTTTTCAAACCCGGCTTTTATTTAAGACATTTATACAATTAGGCTGAGGTGATTAACCAACAAATCAGAAGACAATAAACCAGGTATATGCACATTTTTGGATTTATTTCATCACCATTTTAACCTTAGTAGTAACAGTAACTGATTATTCTCTCACATGCCTCATGGTGTATTCATAAATCAGTTTTTGCATGCTTTAGTGCAGTCCCATGTTATATAAGGAGGTCAGAGGGCATACCTGGGAAGCTGGCAGTGAGGTGCTCCACCAGAGCCTCCTGGTTCACAGGCTTGTGGGCAGAGTTCATAGCAGAGATAGCCAGGCACAAGATCTCTCCCAGCGGGATGAACTGTGACTGGCTGATAGGTGACATACTGATCGGAGACACGTCACCTGCAGGAGGAGGAGGAGGAGGAGGAGGAGGTGGAGGAGGAGGAGGAGGAAGAGGTGGAGGTGGAGGAGGAGGAAGAGGTGGAGGAGGAGGAGGCACAACTGTTAGATCATGAATGAACAGCAGGCGCAGCGTGTGAAGCTATGATGTAATGGTCAAACGGCAGCAGTTTGCATGCTGCCTCGCTCAGCTCCACCCCTCCTCTCTGTGCTTCCTTACAGCCTCTCTCCCTCCTGTTTCTCGTAGGTTAGCAAAGCGAGGCAAATGCTGCAGCAACCGTAGTGCAAGATCACCTGCATTCCTTCTCATTCAATTCACATCGTCTCACAATCAAGCCATACTGTATTATGAACTAAATATTACTGACTTTAGCGCCACATTTAGAGCTTACACACATTCATTCCCTGTTGCCTTTGTTGCTTTAAGCTGGCTTTGCTGTCAGCAGTAGTGAGTAGTGAGATCATCCTACAACCAGACGGCCCGGCTTCAAGCCTCTCTGAGAGCAAACATCTGCCCCGCTGAAAGGTTGTAGAGCAACACACGAATCCATCGCTGCAGCATCTGTGCTGTGGCTGACCCTGTCCTCTGACCTACATCTGCTGATCGATAGAGAATCACGCCACACAATGAAGAGAAAATATTCCATCACAGCCTCCATCTTTGATTCCTAACATTGTGTGTCCTGGTGTTCACAGATATACAGAACAATTATTGCCTCATTGATCACTGTTTTTAGAGTTTTGTAATCATTTTACTGTCCACACTTCTTGTACCTGAGCTGCAGTATGTGCAGGGCCCTGCCTCCTCACCACACTCAGCTGAATGGTCAGTTAGGCAACACGATGACGTTATCTCTGCTTAGTATCACAGCCCTTTAAGCTTTCGGTGGCTTTACGAGGCTTTACTCTATTTTTTTTCCTGTAAACATGAGAAAATCTGCATCTGCCAGTGAATTGGTCGAAACAAATCCCGGTCTTGAGCTCTTATGGTATAGTATGCAATAGTAAAGTATCGTATAGGAATGAGGTTGTAGTATTTATGTCTCACATCCTACAAGAAGGCAATAAAGACAGCAGAAAGAAATTCAAATATTTATAATAAAAGGGACAAAAAAGATCAGATGTTCTTGGTAAGGACATGACTTTGTGATGAGATGGCCAAGAAGCCCTCTTTGTAATTTCAACAAATGCCAACTATAAATCTGTCACAAAATTGGGCACAGAGGTGATGCAACTACAGTAATAGTATGGAATAATGCTGAACTATTAGGGACTATACAATTATATACATACAGATTTGTATACGGGTCATTACATTTGCAGGAAATTGAAGAATATGCTAGGAAGTCAAAAGGTAACACAGATTTGGATCAACAGAAATATAGATTTAGTGTATGTATAATATAGAATTTGAACACAAGCCAAATGAGGGCCCTATATTGCCTGTAATATAAGGCTTTAGATGAAATCATTCAAAAATATGTTTAATTCTTCAGTTTCTATTTGACTACATTTGATACGTTAGAGAAGTGATCAAAGGGGGTCGTTATAATTTCATCATAACACGAACATTTTGTTCACTCGGAACTTTGCCCCCAAATCAAACTGTGTCTTTGCCCTGCGTAGAGTGAGAGGGAGGAGCTTCTGTAGGTGGGAGTGTCAACGACTCACCTGGCGCACGATAACTTGGCGGGGACGGAGAGAAATGAGGAGCAGGAGGGGGAGGAAGATGCTGCTTCTGCACATGGATGTCTTTCTCACTACGGGAGAGATTGTGCTCCAGCGGGCGCTCGCTGAGCTCTGAGCTGGGCCAGGCCCGCCGCACATTGCTGCTGCGGTTCTTCTTCATCGTGACCCCTTTACCAGGTGGCCTTCACCCCTAGGGGCTTGGTGGAAGGGGGAGAGAAAGGGGAAGGAAGGAGGGAGGTGGGAAAGGGGGGGTGTGCAGGGGGAGGTCGACCAACCTCAGGCTCAGTGCCTCCCCCGCATCAGTAAGAACGTCCCGCTAGAGCGATCACACACCAGACATGGCAGGAACCAGTGTGCACCTTCACACACATACACACGTCTCATTTACATCCACGAGAAGGCTACAAACGACCGTGTTCGCACTGAGGGGGGTTGTCATCGGCTGGGCTCTCCCAGGCTGATCTGGAGTGATGGCAGCGGCGGTGGAGGTGCAGGTGATTGCGCGAGGCATCACCCTTTCATCGCCATCAGTCCCAGCCACCATTTGTAGCATCCCCATTTGCATGCGTAGGGAGGCACATTACGTAGCCGCTCTGATGTGGGAGGAGGGAGCAGGAGAGAGGTGGGGGGGGTAGGGGTAGAGATGAGGGAAATGGGGCATTGGAAGTGAGGAGGACGGTGAGGAGAGATTTCAGAGCAGGTTTTGGGATTCGCTTGTTCCTTTTAGAGGGGAAGGTAACAGGGGAAGGAAGGGAGGGAAAGGATGGACGGTCAAATATTCAAAGCTTAAGAGGCCGAGTCTTCGACAATAGCTCAATTCACCACAGGAGTGCTCGGCCGATCCCCGGAAAACAAAAGAGCCCACTTAAAAAAAAACACAGAAATAACAGGCTCCATTCACCCTAACGGGCACTGAAACCTCAATAGTATGCCAAGCACCGGAGACGCCACGTTCACCTCCATCTTTATCCGATCAAGCACAAGACCCCATCGTCCTTTCGACAACAGCACACCAGGAGAGGGTGGGGAGAAAAAAATGGAGAGCATAGAAATAAATAAATAAATTTCAAGAATAGATATCCACCGTTTCCCGCAATCCAACGGAAGAAGGTCCCGAGCCTATCGCCGTAGCATCCATTCATTAACAGGGGGGGATGCAAACTCCAGTCAACGGCAAATCTCTTTCAACGCTAATGCTGCAGCTGCTCCCAGCACCTCCAGGAAGGGTGTGTGAGTATGTGTGTGTGTACGCGTATGTGTGTGTGTGTGAGAGAAAGTGTGTATGCGCGCATCCGCCTGCTGCGCGCGATTCTGCGTGAGCATGCATGCGTCTGTGTCTGGGTGATTGAGGCTGAGGGGAGGGGAGGATGCAAGAGGGAGAGGACATAAGGCAGAGAGGAGAGCAAATATCAACAGCTCTTAACACACACAAGAAAAAATAAATATTCAGCCCTCAGATGATGTCCGGGGAATATCTCAGTGTCTAAATCTGTGGCTGAATTTCCATCCTCAACTTCCTTCCACTCTGCTTCCCTTACACTCTGCTCTTGAAGGATGAGGGGCCCCTTAAACTCCCATCCATTTGTGTCTTACCTGAAGCTAAGGATTTAACAGGGCCCCAAACGGAATTGGTGTCTTTCTCATCACCGATTCCCACCGGTTGATTAACTGTGTGGAGCTGTCAGTGAAAAAGAAACCCCCCCCCAAAGCATCACCTTAAACCCGCTCAGAGTGGCATCTCCTGCAGACTCCTGCTGACTCACATGTGTGGAGTGTGAATGGACGTTTGGAGGGACAGAATACGGAGCAAAGTGAGAGGGCAGGACGGGCCACGGGTGAGGAGGAGGAGGAGGAGGAGGAGGGGGGGGGGGAGGCGGTGTCACAACCAATCTGCTCCAGTTCACTGATACCAAAGAGAAAGAGGAGAGGAAGGAGGGGTGAGGAGGAGGGAGAGCGACACCACGCCATTTTATTTCTCAGTAGTGCTGCAACAGCCTTTGTTGCCATGACAACGCAAGCCGATGATCTCATAGCTGTTACCTTTGAGTGCTGTTCCCTTAAAGGGCCAGCGACCCAAGATAGAAGCAGACAGACGGGACATAGACGAGCACTCAAACCGTCTGTTATACGGACAGAGAATACTCCTGCATCGCTGCTGAAACATCGACGTCTTTCAGCAGTTATCCTCCGACAACTACAGGACAATATCACTGACCAGAGGAATACATATCCAGATGACCTGATAGTGGCAAGACATTACAAATAAAATATGTATCAATTCTACAATGATTTACTAGATATCCCATAGAAGAATCCTGCTATCTACAAATATGTGGCTATTAGAGTGACAAACAAATAGTTGTTCAATTGATTAGTCAGTCGACAAAAATGAATATGAAGCTAAATGTATTTACTTCCCACTGATTACACCTCACATATTAAGATTGAATATTTGGGGGGAAATACATTTATATATAACAGCTAACAGAAACAGGATTATTTTGGGTTGTGGGGAACTGTAATGACATTTGTTTATTATTTTTTAATAACGGGAATAAAAGATAACTTTCAGAATAGATTTAAATGACTTTCTTTTGACCATGTTTGTCATTTAAAGTATTGGCATTTTAACGTTTGCTTATTAGCCAAAACACAAATTGCAGCTGAGCAGAGTTGGGCGATATGGAGCAATAACATTTCATGATATATCTGACCAAATATATAACTATCCATACTGTAGGGTTGAATACTCTTGTTTTCAAAAATGATTTACGAGTAATAAATTAACTAAGCAGGTAAAGGTGGAGAGTTTGGTGAGTTCTTAAAATAACGTTACAGTAAGGCAGCTAGCTAAAGACAGCAGTTATACCATATTGCAATATCCAGAATCTAAGATGATATCAAGTCGTGTCCTGTTCCCATATCGATATCATATTTGCATATTGCCCGGCCCCTCAGTTAGTTGCCGGTATGTGTTTAAAACCAGAGTATTAGATGGGTTATGATGGAGTAGTCCTGAGCTGTGCCAGTAAAGGATTTGTGGCCTGTTACAACTTCCTTGCAAACAGGACCATTCCTGCCGGTGGTCTGCCCTCCAGTGGAACATTTATGACAACACATGTTTTTACAGTAAACTCTCCAGGCTGAATAAAGAGACTGAGGAGGTTTTGCCACAACAGCCTACAAAACACTCCTGACATTAGGATATACGGCAACAAATCTCTCTCTGCTGCGTTTAACATTTCCCCCAATTCTCTACTGGGACCCTCCCTTTCCTTCCAGTGGAGAACCCCGGCTACAGCAGGGAATGCAGTGCCATAGTGTTTTCCTGAACAAATGCTCCACTTTTCCTTCCTTTCGAGCAGACACTCCTCCCAGTCTATTGTTCAAACCCTGCTCACAAACGCAAAGTCCCTCAGTTAATCAGATTGAATGTCAGTATTAAAAAACACTTGGTTTTCCACACAGTTTAAAATCCACAACTTTGGTCTAAGAGTTGTAATCCAGCTACTTTTTCATAATAGTAAAAGTGTGGTTATCAACATGCTAGCCAACTAAGACTTCAAGAAAACTCAAAAAATCTAGATATGTCTTATTATTATTATTTACTAGCAATGGACATTTTATTTCAGTCTATCCTGTTTCCCTAAAATAGTCTAACTTAAAGACAATAGTGTTGTATTAATTAGCACATGTGCATTATAGGCCAAATGCTCACCTCCTTCAGACAGTTAATGAATGGTGAAAATGTGTCTGAACTAAGTTTGAACTTGTCTTGTAAACTCAAATCTTGACACTAAGGCTGTATGCAGCTCATACAAGAGAATACACCCTGCAGTGATTTTCATCTGTATAGAATTATTATCACTTTAGGACATTTTCTAAAAATGCTAGGACTGTTTCAAGTGATCTGGACTCGGTGAAAAAAGTTAAAGTTTAACTCCTGGTTGAATTCACATGAGGTTACTGGTAAACTAAAGATTGATTATGTTTCCTAATAATGTGTTTAAATGCATTGCAATGATTAAATTGTTTCACCATTGGTTCCATTCTGAGATATTTTACAAGCTAATACCTCTTCTACTTTGGGCTTCTTGTTGGGGAAACTGGATAACTTCTATAAAACAAACATATCAGTATATAAATTGCATGAGAACCAACTGCATACGCTCTGTTGGTTTTGGCATTATAGAGTCTGGTGAGTTATTAGCTATAGGACAAACATTCCACAGCTTATCGGTGTTTGCTTTCGTAGTGTCACTGAAGTTAACGTCACTTTGTCTGACGGACAGACAAAAAAAAGCAGCGCCAAAAAAGTTCACAATCTATTTTAAGATTTACCTTTTGATTATTAAAGCTATTAAATCCAATACAATCAATAGAGCTCAATGCAGAAATGTGATAACATGGACGGAGCATTAGAAGTGTTTGAACAGTCATTACAATCTAACATTTAAAGTTCAATCTGAACAATCAAGACTCTGCTGGGTAGTAGCAGCCGGTACCACAAGTTGACTTGAGACAAACAAACTGTTTAATACCAAACTTTGAGTTATATCTGTTAACTATAGTATTTACAGATACTCAAACACTACCACACCTCATGGTTTTCTGCAGTGTGTATTAGTGTAGTGTAGTAAATGTAAATAAAACTGTAGCTTTGCATGTGAAATATCAAAGATTTCATGTGTAAATCAACACCTCTGCTCATTTTCTTGGAAGGTTTTTGCTTCATTTCACAAAAATGTACCAATTTGTTATAATGGACCCTACCCAACTTTAAATATGCTGAATTTGCTGTGTAAGATGGCACCACTGCTCTTTTCTCCAGCAATGTCATGTTTCTCTGTTTCGTCAAGTGTAATAATATGTGTTATCAATATGTTCCCCCCTAAAACAATCCTGCTTAATGCCCTTTGAATTCCAGGACAAATGCATCAAGTAAAATGTAATGATATTAGCCGTGATTGGACCGACGTACAAGGGACTCAATACGACGATCAAGCATCGAGTATTTTCTGTCTTTTTGTGTTTTCTCAGCTACTGTAGATGCTTCTATGACACTGACAATCTAAACGGAGGCTCACCTAAATAAGGTAATCTATGACATTCTGCACGCCTCTCTCATTTGCACACACACACAATCACAGTCAGATAAGAAAGGTTGTGAGGCCAGTGTGATGTGTGCAGCAGTTGGAATAGACAATACCTCAAATTCGTCCAAACCTGTCTCAGCACATACATGAGTTATAGCCTCGTCAGAAGAAGATGAGTATGAGTGTGGGAATGAATCCCTATCTTCTCTTTTCTGTGTGAGTAAGTCTACCTGATATGAATTAGGTGAGCTTATAAGGTTAGATGCTGCCTAAACATTCTCTCATCGGACTAGCTACGACTAGTTTCATGCAACCGCTTTGTCTTAACTGACAGATACATTATAACCTCAAGGGGAAGTATTTTCACAGAGACACAAACCGCAGATAAAACTGTCAGAAGGGTATTTTTTTTTAAAGGTAACAGTCTCATAAACAAACATTGAGAAACTCTTTAGTCAATTATGTCAATTAAGAAAAAGTCCATGTCTTGTCAGGCAGCCTGATTAAGACCCTGAACAAAAAACGTAATTGAAATGAAAAAGCGGTCTTCTATTTAGAGAGATTGAGTTTAGAGCTTGTTTTTCCTATCTGGTTCTTTGTGACTGTGGCACTTAGTTTGAAGGTGAAGTAACAACAGCACTCAAGATCTTTTTTACAAGATAGACCGAGGACAAAACCGCATGCATTCGTTGCGAATAAGGTCTAATTATTTTTAACACTTGCAAGTATTAATAACAAATCCTTAATTACAACTTTAAAGTCTCTTAAAATAGTTGGTGTCTCTTTTAGTGCTTGGTTTGCAGTTAATTCCATTATTAAGGTGCACAATGTCTGAAATGGGTCTTAAACGAGTAAACATTTTTCAAGTGTGCAGCTATTTCTTATTGTTCTGGGATTTTATGGTGTAAAACCCTAAGACCTTTGTTTATATCTTAAGTCTTTAGGGAGTTATTTTTGTTACTTCAGTCATTTCGAGTCCAAGTTTAATGTCTCTGTAAATAAATATTCACAGTATAGGGGGTAATACAGCAATGTAACATAACCCTACCAGAATTAAAAGTTTAAATCACTTAATGTTGTATCATCCAGACAGATTATGTTGTTATAGGCCAAATCTGTCAGGTTTAAAATACATTTTACTTAAGCACTTTACTGAGGTTCAATTTTAAAGGTACTTTTACTTCACTTGAGTATTTTCACGTTATGCTACTTTATACTTTACTACATTTTGGAGGCAATTTTGACAAATGTTTTACTCCACTCTAAAAAAATTATTTAGTTACTAGCTACGTTGCAGTATGGATTTATCATACCGAATATAAATAAAACAATACATTATTATATATTATTATAGGTTAAATTACCTCATATCTATCTAACGCTACCAGTATATAAAGTAAAATATAATCTCCACCTTCACCAAGTGCAACATTGACATTAATGCATTTATGATTAAAATACAAAAATGTGATTTTTTTAAAATCATGGGTCAAACTGGAAATGTTGTATACATCAAGTATATTTTGATGCCAATACTTTTTAGTTTTAATTGAGTACAATTTTGGGTACCACTTTACAATAAGACTACCCTTATAAAGGATTCATAAAGGGTTTATAATTAGGTTATGAATTAGGTTGTAAACACTTTATTAATCATTAAGAACCATTTATAAACCAGTTCTAACATAGTTTTCATACATCAACACAGGCTCAATATTTGGCAAGACGACTAAGCCTTACATTGGCTACTTAGCGAGAATCAACTCAGTGAACAACAGATACCAAGGATGCTGGCTGATGAAGAAGTAAGCTAAGTAGCCAATATAAGACTTGGCAGCAGGCCCGGACTGGCCATCGGGAGGACCGGGAGGTTTCCCGATGGCCTGGCCTGCTAAGTGGCCTGCTGGCCTGAGGATTAATTTTGTTATGTAGGCTATGTATTGTGAACGCAACGCAGCGCAAATGTGGGTCTGACTCTGCCTCACAGAGGGTAACTGGCTGTCTACATGATGTGGCCTGCCGACATGACCACTTTCATACAGATCATACACTAATGTCCTCGATTGGTCTATGTGTGTCATTCGAGCTGGGGAGGGTGTGTATGTGTGGCGCGAGCGAGCGAGAGATAAAGCGCGCGCACCGGTTATGTGTATTGTTGTTGTTAGCATCTGGTGCTAGCTAGCAGCACTAACGGATATAATGAGCTGTCAACAAGGTGGAGGAGAGTCCTCTCCTGTCAGACTGAGAGACTGATAACCTCAGCTCAGGTGAGGTAAAGGACTCTGAGTGTTTAGATAGTTAACTTAGTCTAAGTTCTCTGTGGGTCTCAAACGGTTTGGTCACCATTTATGTAAACACATATTTACATTTGAGGGGGGGAGTGATTAGTAAAATATGCATGAATAATAATAAAGAAATGTTAACTAGGTGAAAAAAGGTAAGATAAACTTTAAAAACTTGTTGAGAGCTAAAACTAGTCTTTGCTGCTGCCTCAAAGAGGAGCAGGAGGGAGAGGGGGAGAGGAGGGAGACAGGAGAGGCTGGTTCAGGAGCACAGACACACTCACAACTATAAATGAACCAAAAACAAATAAACAAGTTTCAATGTTTTTTCATATTGGATTTGGTATGTTATTGGTTATGGCCATGTTCTTATGATTATTTAAATGTATACAGTTCTGTTTCATATGGATGTAGTCTCTTTGTTTCCCCCTCAAAATGCACCAGATTGATGCATTTAAGTCCAACATTGAAAAAAAAATCTTACGGGGGGAGGGTCCGGGGTCCACCTCCACTTAAAATATGTGCACATGGATAGGTTCCTAAATAGATTTGCACATTTTTTTTAAATAGTAACCCATGTCCATATGTGTATTCTGGGGTAGTAGATTTCAAGTTTAGGGCTATCACTATGGGCAGCAATGCTGTAAATATTGACAAATAAATCCAGGAAAATGGTACAAAAGAAAACTGGTAGTGGCCCGGCCTGACTTATTGTCCCAGTCCGGCCCTGCTTAGCAGTACAGATAAATGTGGGCTCACTATTTGGCAAGATGACTAAGCCTTATATTGGCTACTTATCGAGAATCAACTCAGTGAACAACAGATACTAAGGATGCTGGCTGATGAAGAAGACGAAGTAAGCTAAGTAGCCAATATAAGGCTTAGCAGTAGCCTACAGATAAATGTGTGTTCACTATTTGGCAAGCAACCGGTCACAGTTGCCCTGTTTATCTCATGTCTTATAAAAGCTTATTAATGATTTATAAAGTGTTCACAACCTAATTAATAAATGAATTACAAACTATTCGTAAACCCTTTATAAGGGTAGTCTTATTGTAAAGTGGTACCCAATTTTGAATACATTACTTTGACTTGTAACAGAGTATTTTTTACAATGTAGATAAAAGATCTGAGTACTTCCCTCACTCCAAGCATACCCACCTATGAACTGGATGTCGTAGCCCTGCGGTGCTTTGAGGGTCCGCCTGGTCCATCCGTTCCTAAGCACCTGCAGGTGAACCTCTTGCCCCTGAATCAGCAGCACGTGCTCATCTATCCATCCGAGGAAGAAGATCTCGGTCAGTGCCAGGGTCAGAGCCTTGTTCCAGAAGTGCTGCATGTTTACGGCTTTGAAATTAGCGAACACCTCGTAGCCGGTGACGCGTTGCTGTAACTTCGGTGGTGATAAAGATGATGGGGGGTCCGGTTCATCTTCTCCGCCGAGCTGCGACAGCACCAGAGCCACAGAGTGAGGAGCGACCTGTAGTAACTTCTCCATTCCTGCTTCAGGCAAAGTTAACGACGGTCCGTATGCAAAATATTACATTACTATAAAACGGTGTTTAGTCCGAGCATGTCTTAATTTTGTATCCCCAAACTGCCTGCTAATCTCAACAGGTTTCCACATATTTAAAGCAATGGACTACAGAGTAAAAGAAAACCGCATGAACTTATTCGGAGTTTGCAGAACGACGTTGGAAATAAGCACAAGTACAGGTGTTCCATGTAAAATCAGGGAAATTAGCAACATGACACGCCGTCGTCTGCAGCCAACTAAACCCGACTGTCAGAGAGTATTAGGGACTATTTTCAGCGACAAAGAGGCGAGGACTAGTGCTGCGTTCAAGGACCACACGTAAACTCCTACTTTACACTTAGCAAGATCAATGATCATCAGTGTCAGGTCTCTTTGTTAGAAATGGTTGACCGGTCCTAAAACACCAAAGCAAGTTTTGCAGATTGGCTTTAACTGCACAATGAAATTACGAACAAGTGAAATAAAAAGAGAAACATACAACCGCATATTTAGTGCAATACAAACGTAACTATTTTAACGTTATTGCTTTATTGTCCCCAAAGGGCAAGTTGTCTTGTTTTAAATTAACAAAAGTCAGTAAGAATATTAGTTATATAAATAACACAAATATCTAAAAGGCACTCTTTATGATATTGTATTCAGGGGGGCTTTTAGTCTGGGCTTTTATATTGCTGGTGTGTGTAGCTGTTGAGCTGTGAGCGTTTGTATCAGTATGTCCTCCAGGTACCAGGTGTAAGCCTCTTGTTTGTGAGGACTAGTTTAGGTAAAGTGCATCTGTGCTGGCAGTGAGGCAACAGAGGCCCAGTTGTAATTGTCCCAGGGCCTCAGGATCTGCTGGCCCAGTTCTTCTCACCTAGAGGCATGCCAAATCTGGAGTAATCCTGCCTGTTTACACTGAAGACAGCGTGCACAAGTAGACGTTACTGTGCTGTCAAAGGTTAACTAGATTTTTTTATGAGACATGAACAACAATAGCAAGACTTGATGGAAAGTGAGCACTTTGGTAATATATCTGGAGATATGCTACTGTAGAGCCAAAAACTAAATCACCAACACTGTAGTACAACACATAATGGAAAGTGGTTTTTATTTTGTATGGAAACACAACACCTATCTCATAGTATAACTGCATACGAATAGTTATGGAGTTGGAATAAGTCAAAATGTGACATCCCAAAGAGTGTAATATATTGATAGGACTTAAACTGGATTGTCAAACAACTGAGTGATTTTAACAGCAAGAGGATTTCAGCTAGTTTGCTGTAAATATTGGAAAATGTACTCATGAATGAGCAGCACCTGGACACAATCAAATTGTGTTTCATCTTTTATAAATCACTCAATGCTAGTGGTTTAGGTTACACATAAAAGTTGGATCCACAGTTCAACAACAGTCCACTGGAAATGATTGTTTAAGAAGTTAATGCATGTAACTGTTGAAGCAATGAGGAAAGGCGGCCTATTTGCCATATCTTCAAAAAAACAAGAAATACATTACCTACTGTCTATCAAGAAATTAGAACTTGTGTTCAAGTATGTGAATGTGAATGAAAGCATCTTGCATGTGGGCTGGCTTTACTCATGCATGCTATGAAGCCTGACACTGGCTAATGTAAAAAAGACATTCACAGCAACAGTTATTTCAAAGAAATCCATGTAAACAAAACAAAACAAAAACATTTAAAATATAATTCTGAGCTTCAAAACCAACCGTACACAATATAGCATAGTAGATGTTCCTGAATTTGCAACACAAGTGCAGCATTTATTTAGGCTTCACCCAATGTATCAGGTTATTCATCATTGAATTATTCTTCCACCTTCATGTCAGATGCCACCACAGTGACTCGAGAATGAAAAAAGACAATAAGGATGTAAAGAAAATAAAAAACAGGCACATAAATCACACATGATCCCTTCAAAAGTTAAAAAGTCTGCTGACTCTGAAAAAGGTTGAGGCTGTAGGGCAGTAAGCGCATCCAGGGTTTCATGATCAGAAGGTCAAACTTTCTATCAAAATGGCTCCCAATAGGTTTCCCTGAAATGTGTATAGTGTAAACCGCAAAGAGGCATCCACTGGTAGAAAGGAGTGAGCTTGGAATTACATGATCAATTACATTTTATCTTTATATTCATGATTGTTCTTTTTTTTTTTTTAAATAATCTCCTTTTAAAGGTTAAATATTTAAAAGAGAATAAAAAAGTGTTCATTTTTTAATGCCTAATAACTGAAATCCAAACAGAAATATCCTTATAATGCCATGAAATGTGACTCTGCATCCCATTTACTCTCCCAAACATATGTAAGCTGACGTTCAGTCAGACAATGTAAACTAAAATAATTCACAAACAAAACCTCAAGCTTTTTTTCTGCAGATGAAGGCTGATGTAGAGACATCAAGGAGAAAAATACATCTCTTTGGTCAGCATTGACACTATGCATGGGATTTGTTTCTTTGCATTGAAGCCTGGTGAATAGGAGACAGACTCAAACTCTACTGCCACCTTGTGGTTCACTCGGGTCAGGATGTGCTGGAGCTCCAATTCCTTTCCATATTTGCTGATCATTTCACACAGGGACTGCATGAACCAGGACCCGCTCGAGGTGTTCCTCCATGAGTAGTAGCCTACAGACACATGAGAGAAAGACGATGGATCAATACAATAAGCAACAAGATTATGATGAGTATACGAAAAGGCACGTGTTTGTGTGTGTGAGTAATAACCTGGGGCGGTGGAGAAGGCATACAGGAAGTCAGCTTCCACAGGGATCCTGGTAGTGCCATCCTCTCCGCTGTCTGCTTCAATGCCTGCATCCAGCTCGGTGCCTCTGCAGGCCTAATGTGAACGCACACACAAAACAAGACTTGGTTAGACAGTAGCAAAACTTAAGGGTTAGTACGTGCAAGAGGGAAAAGACAAGAAAATGAATCGTACCTGGATGAAGAAGAGTTTGGGTTTTCCCACCAGTGATTTACAGCGATCGCCTCGAAAAAGTGATGTCAGGAACTTGAGCTCCACTGAAGCATCCGTACCAAAGAACACGCCTTCGTCTCCGTGACTCAGCAAGACGCAGACGAATGAGGCGTAAGAGCTGTGATCTTCCTTTGACGCTATATAAAAAAATAGTATAGCATTTAATATATTTTGTCCAAGAGGATTCTCATCGTATGTGAAAAGATAATTAGTATTTGTTTGTGTATGTACACATTTTGTATACAGTCGTCATCAACTTACCAGAAGTTAAAACCTGTACCATCTGATCCACTGACTGGTCGTTGTAAACCTTCGTTTTGTAACCCAACTTTCCGAACACTTTCATTGCATTGGCTGCATCTACATCTGTACCGTTTCGTTGATTCATGCCTTAAGGAAACAAAGAAAATATGGTTATTTGAACACAATAAAAAAAAAAACAGCCATCAAAATAAAAAAACATTCTGTATGCATCATACTGATTTGTTTTCATATCATTATTTGAAAAGTTGCTGAACACCCATGATACCCCTGCACAAAGATCATTTTAATTATCAAATGTAAACTTCTTCTCGTGAGTGTGCGGTGGCGTTTAGATTTATTCATGACAAGCCGTAAAAAACGTGTTCTTCATTCTGTTATTTGTACGATGCCGTTGTTACCCAGGGTCTTTTGCTTATGAGGCACAGAGCAACGTATGAGGATTTCTTTGCGCACGCCCAACCTGTACACACCCGCACTGTAATGGTGAGTTTTTTTTAATGCACCCTTTTTTACGAGTACATGACACAGTACGTGAGCACATGTCTGGTTACCTTACATAAGCTCCACATATCTTCACTCTAATCAGCCAGAAAACATAAAGACACCTACACAGGTGTAAATCATAACATGATTGATGGCTGAAAAGGATTTGCTGTCAGTATGATGGCTGATTTGAACATTTCAATTGAACAGAGCCATCGTTAATGTGATGAGTAACACCTGTGCTTTTCCTACGATGACAAGTCAACTCGTCTTCTATGAAAAATAGTTTCGAATAAAAGATCCCTAAAATATTTGTACATCTTGTATATAGATTTTATAAGAAATTATTCAATTTGCTTTTAGTCACTCAAAAACGAATTGTATCAATATTGTCTAGTACTGTTTACTACTGTTAGCCATGGCAAAGTTCATTCTTAAACCTTTCTGTTCACACAAGTAATTATTCTCTAGTTAAATATTGTATTTTTGACTTTTCTATTACTTTCGGACACTAAATAGCCCTCCTGCCACCGTCCATCTGTGTCCCTTGTGTTCAGGTTTGAATAATACCTCTTTAGTTTGTAACTATGGTCACCTGTTTTGTTTATCAGAGTGAGGTTATGGTGCACAACGAGCCTTCTCTCATTGGCTCTTGCACATAATGACGCAATAGTCTTGGGAACATGCGTGGGGGATTACAGAGTACATCTCAAGAGTACATCTCAAGACGTAACTCTGTATGTTATGTAATATATGTGCACAAATCAACCACAACAGGAACATTTTCGTGGTTGAACAGGCGTAACCACTTCTGCCGTTTACCCCACTCACTCATACAGTATGATGTACATGATGTTGAACAGTGTTGACCAAGCAGTCATGTGTACTCAGTTAGCCCTGCTAGACGGGTTTGTTAAACACAAGTCTGATGGCAAAATATGACCATCATACAGTAACTCTGAAGCTGTATTCACTTGCATTCATATCCAAGGTCTTCTCAGCCAGATAATAGAGGCAGGCTCTTTCAATAACAGCACATACTGCTCCTCAGCTTTGCAAGCTTATATTACACAATGCCCATAAACGAAAGGAAAGTACTAAGGTCAATTCAAGGTTTATACATTATCTTCAACTACTGTAGACAGCAGGTCTTTATACCCTCAGAAAGTGCTGGATGAAAAATCTCTTATAGATCCTCAAAGGGACTCAGACATGTACCTCCTTAACCAAAACATAAAGGACACTTTTTCTGTATCCTGCCACCCTTGAGCAAGACACCACAATATCAAAGTTGCTGCGCCTTGAAATAAACACAGAATTAACATCCTCAAAAACAGACCACAGTCCACACTACAGTTGGAAGAGGAACTAATCGAACCGTCTGTGTGATAAAGGCAAACCATACTGCAAGTCATGTGGAAACCTGAACTTCATAAAGAGCTACTGAAAGTAAGATGCACTGGGAGTTACTGAGTTGTCTTGTAAAAAGCAATAATGCATTACCATACGATAAGTACTGCCTGCTTTCATCAACAAAGCCAACTGTACAGAACCTGTTACAGAACATGTCATTTACTGGCAGGAAATGTACAGAAGTAAAAGTAAGAATGTGGTCCCGAGCATTCCAACGATTTCATAAAGATGACAGAGAAAATAGAGCCAACCAACGTCTTACACCTAATAAAATATTTAAGAGTGTACACTTGAGCCAACCTTTAACCTTGGGCTAAGGTGTGAGTTTAGCTAAGACTAACTAAGCATTTCAAAATGGCTCTTAAATCTTAGTGTGGCTTTTTCTGGACTGCTGGAAATAACCATGTACCTGGCATCAAGAGAATAAAAGATGGACTAAAGTAGATACGTTCACTTCCTTGTTGCTATAAATTACATCTTGATAATAACTGAGAATAAAACATATAATCACTATACTTAGAGCGTAACAGATGTTTTGTCAGAGTTAAAAACACAAGGGCATAAATGATTGCAATATATTAAAACTGAGTAGAATATTCACCCTTGTGTTACCACTAGGGCTGGGCCATATGGAGAAAATAAATATTACAATACTTTTGATAAAATACCTATCGATATAGCAATGATAATTATTACATAACTTTACTGTAATACAGCCTTTAAAACCAGTAAAAGACACCAATATTATGACATCCAAAACCTAAGATGATGTTAAAGATCTACTGTTATATCACATTATCAATATATTGCCCAGCCCTTAGGTGCTTGGATTGCCTAAAATATCTGTTCAAGCATTTCAGCACTAGGTTACAAACAAGAGGCTTCATTAGGACCTGTAACGTGTGTGTGAACATGTATTCCATTTCAGAGCTGTTTCATTTTGAATACGTGTCATTCGTAAACAAACTTACCATAGCCCTGACCAATAAAAGACAACATAAAATACCTGTTCTCCTTTCAAAGTTCTTGTTGTTGATTATGATGCAATGGCCGATGCAGGGGAAGTTCAGACTGTATCTGAAGCTCTGGGCGCTGGGCTTGGCGTCCACATCCATGGAGGCAGAAGCAGACAAAGTCGACGCAGACCTGAAGGAAAACAAAACCAGAAGTTCCAGAACACACATCTTTACTTTAACTGGAAGATAACAACACACTATAATTAATGCACGACAAAGAAAGAGCCATGAGGGCATTTAAAGAGTGAGTCACAGGCCTGCATGAGTGAAGTGACTCACATGAATAACACCATGCTGAAACAGCTGCAGATTTACAAACAGCAGCTAATACGTTATAAACAGCGGGTGAATTGATGCTAATTAGTAGCCTGTAAGGATGCTATATAGCGGTAGTATGTTGTCGAGGAAGAGCAGCTTCCTCATCATTGCCTGCTTGTAGAGGACAACAATGAGCTTAAATAGATACAAATCTAAAAAGCTACTAATAACCATAGATAATATCTAAACCGTTACTTACTGTTGTCCATCGACACTCTTTGCGTCTGTGGAGTCTTCTCCAGGTCCAGTTCCGTTACCCGACATGTTTCTGATTCAGAATATTAACCACACAGTGAAATAACACACCCTGTATGATGTACAGTGAACCCGGCAGACAGCTAATGCTAATGCTAACGCTTACGCAAAGTTCAGGCTGTAAACAAAGATGTCATGGAGAGGCGCACTCGTTTTAAACCCCCACGCCTGCCGTGTGAGGACTCCCCTTTGTTAGGGGCGGTGCTATATTTTCGTTTAATACTAAGTAAGGTCAAATTCTAAAGGAAAACGGTAAACATGTCCTGATCATTGATTTACATAATATATAACACTTTCTTTTTCATTCGACAAATACATTAAAGATGGAAAAAATAAAAAGGAACAAAACAGGGTTCACACTACTCCACATGTAGCCTTCAACCTTTGCTCCTTCTTGTGATTATTTAGCTTTTATATTACTTTTTCTAAAATAAGAACATATTTAATCATCGACCCGACTCCCAACACGCCAAGTTAGTATTTAAATGCAGTTTCATAGCCTATTCCACGCAGAGAAAAACATATTTTTAAAAAAAATGCTAAATCAAGGATTATCATTGCAAAAAGTTAAACAAACTAAATGTGTTCTGTTATAAACAATTGTAAGAAACTCATCATAGGGCTTTTATGAAAACCATGTGTTTAATTAAATGTCAGTAACAGTATATGGTGAGAGTGTTTCCACACCAAAGTCAGTTAGTTCACCCATAAGCTCCACTTAATGAATAGTTTTGATGACTAGCTAATGACTGTTGTTTACTTTTAGTTCAACTGCATGACAATGGCGCAAACTCTGGAAGATTATGGGACTGTTGGCGCAGGAAGACGCTGCATTGTCCCGGATACTTTCCTGTTTTGACTCTGGCAGCTGTTGCCTTGGGTAGGTTTTGACTTATTCCTTTACATTCCGATACTCACTTTTATCTTGTGGCTTTTTCTTAAGTAATAGCATTTTTTTTAAACTATTAAACAGATCTTATTCATGTTTTAAGTTCTGGGTCTTCTTCTTTTTTTTTTTTAAAGACCTTGCAACTTTGTTTTGAAATGTGTTATAAAAGCAAGGGATGTTATGTGTATACGTTTAACAAGCACCTTCTAAGTACTTACGTAAGGATATTACTTTGCTGTATATAGTTTCAATATATTTTGATGCATATTATCTATTTTATTTTTTAAACTGAACAAAATTATTGTATTCTCTACTAAATCTATACAGTATACATTCTCATTCTTGAGTCACATAATGTAATCAGTAGCTACATGTTACGAATATGATACTTTAAGTGTTTGGCCAAATAAAATAATGTTGCTTTGTCACAAAACTTATCCTGTACTAATCTGAAGCCCAGAGTGGTAGCCAGACCATTTCAAGTAATACATTTTACCAACTACTCCCAAGTCGTTTTTTGAGGATTTGACAAAATCAAAATCACAAAAGATATGCACTTCATTTCGTTCACTTTAATATTGGCAACCTCTAACACAACCCTGCAAAAAAAAAAAAAAAATGCATTGAAGGACAGAAAAGGTGAAAAGTATGCTCAGAAAACGTAGTCGTTACATTTATATATTTTTAGCAACGTATGTTTTAAATACGCTTCACACTTCAGGAGCCAACATCAAAAGTTGACATCATATGGGCATGATCAATAATGTAATGTAGGTAAGTGCAAATACACCTTTAGTCAAGTTTTGAGAGCTGTGGGAAGTTGTGGCATTGTGACAATCTCCACCACGCTGGGCAAAACCAATCTTAGATGGAACAATGAAAGGGATGAAAAGGTAGAAACTTAAGAAAACAAAAGTTAAAAACACACATAAAGGAATGCGTCTACGCAATTAAGAGCCATGGCTAAAAACCAAAATTATGTATATGTTTAAACAGACTGCAGACGGGAAAAATCTGTAATGCAAGATACATTTTTAGTAACATCAAGCTGTACAATCCTCACACATTCTTCATCATGTGTTTGAATGATGTATGAAGGAACATTTAATCACACTAAGGGATGGTTCAAACCTAACATGGTACACTCTGCTCAGACAATTCAGTTTACCACTTCTGAGTAAACAACAATGAAACAGAAAGGAGAAAAAAAGCATAAGTGCATCACCTCCATTAGATTCTCTATCAATATAACCAGTTAATATCACAGTTACTTTACAATGTAATATATTTACAGACATATTTGCAACATTACGTTCATTTTCAGTGTTCTCCTTTTAAGTACACTTGAATATAAATGAAATTCAGATTTTTCATCAGCCACACAATCCTTCCACTCATGTGACAACGGAGACAAGTACGATGACAGAATTCAGTTTTTGCAATTTCAGCGAACTCACACATTTCATTTTGTGCCAAATGTATATGCAGTGAGGCACTCTTATTGCTGTCTGTTAAAGAAAACTACACTCGCAACACACGACGACTATAATAACCCACATCAAGATTAAAGCTATGATCAATACGTTTGAAGGAAACCAGGAAGACAAAAACACTTTTCCCTTCACTTCACTATTCATCAAGCCAGTATAAATCTGCACAGCTTACATTAATCTCAACTGTTCATTTGTTGAGACTCAGCATTCATTTCTAAAGCAAAGTTTAAACGGTTAATCTAAGCATTAGTGAGAGCACAAACTTTAGTATGAAAATAAGTGTAGTGTGAGTGTGTGAGAATCAAAATAGATTTTATCTTACACATAAGGATTAGAGTCAATCTCAAACTCAAGGTGATTCAATTTTACAAGGCTTTTACTCTGAGTAATGTGGTCAACAAATAAACTATTTTAAAAGTAACTTAGCATTCTGTTTTGGGTTTAGCATGCCCCCTTCACAAATTGTAAAACTGCCCATGTTAAATGTAAGGGGGAACGAGATGTTGCGTCGCAGTTTAAGGGAGATTTTCTTTTTTCTTTTACAGGCTTTTGGGGATCTACAGCACAACATAATAGGACATTCTCTGTAAAAAAGTTAAACAACTTCTGGTGGAATGAACACTATATAATAGGAACAAGATAAATGTATAGGATAACGAAGGGACTGCACTTATAATCTTTCAAATAAATTGGTGAAGTAGAAAGATGACAACAAAAGACAAGGTCCTATATGTTTTTCCCCATTGTGCCATTGGTATTTTTATGCTTCATATTTTCATTGGTACTTAACATAGTTTTCATTAAGGTTCACATTGTTCACATGTTCATCACATTGAACAAAGAAAATATATTCTATTAAGGTTAATGTGCTACTCACAGAAAGGTAGTTATTCTTCCTAAATAAAAAATAGATAGAAAAAAACTTTAATTTGTATTCTTGTATAGTGAAAAAAGGTTTTTAAAAAATCATATATATGTAATGACCCACTACTGTTATTAAGATAACAAAACCAGCCTTAACCGAGCCAAAATCTGAGTGGCTTTATCACAACAAACTACTTTCACATTTCTTCACAATGTATTTTAGAGTGGGTTTGAGGGATATCAGGATAAAGGAAATCACAAACAAGTTTTGAAACTGACTAGTTGAGGGCAACAAAAAAGGCTAATGTGTCAGGTTGTTTCACTTTTTGGAATTAGGTATCATTGCAAATGAATATAAATTGAAACTGTGCATCATGTCTTGGTGTTTGTGAGACTTCTCTTTTTAACAACATTTCTCACTTTGGCCTGTGCCACTCAAGCCCACGCATCTATGCATTTGATTTGGGCTGAAACTGCTATGCTCAATATTCACTGTGTGAACTATTAAAACATTGGGTATGAATACACTTGACTCAAGGTGGTGCTGTGCTGGGGAAGTAGCAATACATTAATTGCAATAGTAGTCAGAATAAGGAGTGTAGAACATTAACAAGCACATGAATAACATGCTAGGGAGTAGCTCTTTCTTCCTGAGCAAACCTTGTATAGATCTCATCTGGATGATTTATGCCTTTGAAGAAAAGGCTTTTTAAAGAAAATGCACAATATCAAGAACCAGAATAACCTGCTTCCAAAAGCAACTCAAAGGCTGTACCAAAGAACCATGGATTGAGAACAATCACCAGACCAACCAAGATAAACATTGTGTGTTAGAGAGGCAGTGAGGGGAATCTGAACACTAATCATCTGCAATGTGACAACAATGCCACAAAGTGTATTGTATCTACGTTGAGGGGGAAGATGCTCTTAACCCTGAGCAAATCACTTCTGGAAAAGGTGATCAGTTGAAGCTACAGACATTGAAGATTGGATAATGTCAGGCTTGATTCTCCTGATGCTGAAGGTTGGTTCTCCACAGAGGAAGACCGGCCGGATCAGAAGATTTCGGGGCACATGTCCCAGCTGCCTTGTTCCTTGGCCTCCCAGTAACCGCCCTTGTAGACATGCAGGGTCTCTCCGGAGGCGGGGTCGTCAAACTTATCAAACCACATGGCTTGGTAGTTGTCTGGATGGGCGCCTTAAAGGAAAGGAAAACAAACATTTTAAAAAGAAGCTTTAAAAAGGAACCTGAGGGGAGGGTGAAGAAGCCACTGAGCCATGACAAAACATCATGCTTAAATCAAGCCGACATGCTCTCAGATAGCTGATGAAGAGATATTTAATGTTTCAATTTCACCTGGCCTTCCGCAGTGTTCATTTCTTAAACAAAAACTATGACCAAAATGTTTTCCATGACTAAAACAAGCAGTTGACAAGATGGCGCAGGTGTCATTAAACACTAAATGTAACTGTCTCACCATACAATACTGTTGACGAAAAAGACAATGTAGTTGGGTTAAAAACGGCTCCTAAATCTGAATTTTTGCGGACAAAAAAGAGCCGTTTTATTATTTTCTGCAATGAAGCAGTTCCCTTTCATGTGGTGTTTGCGCACTATCATGATGTCTAATCAGCATCCCAAAATGAGCAGTCAGGAGGACTCACAGTAACTTACCAACGTTTAAGTAAAAGATGACAACAACAGAACTTGGCAGAAAGATCAAGGCTATATTTCTGCTATACAACGTGAACTGAAATACCCCTCAAGCTACTGAATGTTAAACTAGTTATGTGTTCCTTTTTTCAGATCAGAAGAATACAATGCCAACACTTTTAGTCCCCCATAATCTGAACAAAGGATGAGGTGACTAAGTACGATCAAAACTAACAAGGACATTTGACACAGGACCAAGACAAAAAAAACTGCTGAAA